GTACGCCGAGACGCAGGCCGACAGCAATTCTGAGTGTGGTGTCGTTTAGGAAGTTACCGAGGGATGCGGCTGGAAGTGCTTCCAACCATGCGCCATTATCCTTAGTGCTCACACCTCGAAGACGGGCTTCACTTGACATGTCTGACTGAGCTGCCGCCAAGAGGGTTTCCACCGTGCCGTGGATGATCGGTTCATCCCAAATCTTCTGGTGTTTTCTGGTTTCGAAGGCCGGAAGGTCCGCTTTGGTCATTTGTTGCCACTCTTCTGCGGCGTCGCAACAATAAATTTCCGGGTCGAAATCAACTAACTCGCTAGTCAGTTTAACCACTGAGTAAGCCGAGGCCAAAAAGGCCGGAAGGGCCAGCTTCTCAATGCTCCGGATTCCGAGACCACCCTGTGAGACGGGAAGTGCCGCTTGCATCCATATGGCTTCGGTAATGTTCACATTGGTAATTCTCGACAGACAGTCTATGATCATTTTGTCGAACTGTCGCAACAACTCCGTTTGCAGGTAGCACCGCGCAGTTCGCAACCTGTAAATCATTCTTACCGGACCCATGCTGCATTTCAAAAGGTACAACGCGTGGTGGGCAGGCAGCAGTCTTAAGCGCTGTGTCATCCTGGCAATCTTCTCCGTTTCAACAGCAAGGGTGCCTGCAACCGCGTCATCGTGGAGTGGCGCGCCGAGGTAGTTCAACTCGTTCAGGTGCGGCAACTGCAAGTCAGGGAACGATTGGAGAAATGCGTCAGTTACCCTTTGGCGATCGGTTTCGGACCCTCCGATCACTACCAATTCGCATTTGGCAATGTTCAAATGCAGCCCGGCATTTTTCAACGCTTCCTGCAGAGTACATAGGTCATCGTACACGTCTTCAGGGTCTCCTCCAAGCGCATCGTCATCCAAAAAGCTCTCGCGAAATTTTAATTTCAGATGGCGGTGTGGTTTGATGGTGGCGAGGCAATATAATAGCGGTCCTTTGGGATCACCCTGTTGTATCCCTGCTTGGGAAGAGATGCGGTAGGCGCCATGCAGCAAGACCGATGGTGTTCCGTAACACTGCCAGACATAACGGTAGTACAGTGGTAGAAATTCCTCCGTTGCTTCGAGGATTTTATTCCGGTCAAGTGAGTTAAATGCATTTCTTACATCCAGTTTCAAAAGGACTTGAACTTTATCGCTTTTGACGGCATTCTCGATAAAGCAGCGCGCACCATGAACTGCTGCTTCAACGCCACCTTTCGTGGCAAAGCCTAACTGGAGTGGCTGCAGTTCGCTGTTTAGATGACGCGATTTGAAAGAGACAATGCGGGATACAATTCGACGTAGGGCTCAACCAACCGCAATCGGGCGCACTCCGCTGTCCTTTTTCTTGAAGGCAAATAGATTGGCTCCGTATAATATGTCGGTGATCCCCGGGGGCACTTCCCCCCTAAGCATTATGTTCACTACGTCAGCCACTACCTACGGTGCATACCTTGATGGTACTAACTAACACGTACAGGCGGCGAGCCTGTACGAGCTCAAAAGATAAATCTAAAAACATAGATCCATACTAATATGAAAACGATTGGCAACGCCTGCGAATTTCAGCTTGCTCGTGGGTGTAGTTACTAATTATACATTTTTGAATCTGTTGTTAAATTCGGTATACTTCCAGTACCGATAACAATGCATCTTTTTGGTAAGGGGGGAAACAGGCGCGATGTTGCGGTATCTGAAAACGAACAGGTCGGCGTATCGGGGCATGTGCGAAGTCGAGGTCTGTGCAGGCGGACCTCACCACCACGAGTTTCCGTCATCCCTTCTATGCCCGACTGCAATTTTCCCTTTAATTTGTTGGAATACAATTACAGTCACTGCCACTTATAGGGCGGATGTGACGTACGCATCACAGTTAATGTAAAAGAGAGCTGGAATGGAAAATGTTAATGATACGGGCAGTTAGGAAATAAGAAAATTTGTATTGTTCAATGGCGCTCAGATCCCCAGTTATCCAGTCCGCCCAGGGATTGCTGACGAATAATGGGCGGATGATAAAAGTCACGTGATGCTTATTGACAGGTTCCTGCAGCATGACTCTCCACAGTCCACACACTCTGCAATCAACAGATAGTGCGAACTGTTGTAAATATGTGGCCGACAGATAACCTCCTTTCGCTGCGAAAAAAAAACACTTTTGGCAGTTACAAGGGTTCATTTTGATCCAGGTGCAAATAAAAGCGCTCCCGAGCATACTAAAATTTGCTTACCGTATACGACTATATCCACGATCAAAATGACGTTTTGTTAGCATAGTATTACATTGGAAACAGCGTGTAATTCAAAGTGACAAAATTTGATTAAGGACATGTGAGGAGGATTGACTCCTTCTGTCGTACTACGTGATTTCCTTTAGGACAGATCTCAGTTCTCAGATCCTACGTCGTGTAAACATTACTCAGACCGTTTTTGTTACGGCCTCCTCTCCAAACTTTAACACGACAGGGACTGCACAAAACGAAAATCTTACTTACAAAAGACTTTCAGTCCAATTTTGTCTACCCAACTTGGTAGGGGCTCGATTAGGTCGCCAGCGTCGAGGAGGCGTATGGATTCCAATGTACCGTGTGATACGGAAATCGTGTGCCACTTTAAATGACTACGGATGCGGTCCGTATCCATTATCATTAAAGTGGCGCACGCTTTTGTCGGTTCCGTTTGCAGAGCGGATATCCAAAACAGTCAGCTCGCTAACATCTTTTGTGAAATTATGCTGCGTGGAGCAAGCTACCATCCGCTCAGGCACGTTGTAAAACCGCACGTGCGAATAACAAGTTTTTAACACGAGTAGGAAGTTGACTTCCGCTGCTTTAAATACCTCCATCATGGTTAAATTGTCCATTATCCTTCGTAACTGGTCTAGCAGAGCGTCGGCGGTTGGCCGGACACTGGTAGCCGGCTGTAGATAGTCCAGAATACACAGTGGCCAGATCTGAGGGGACTGAATCACTAATCCAAGTGATATACTGCTATGGAATTAGCCATCTCTAGCATAACACAACCCAAACTCCAGACATCGGTTTTGCGTCTGGATCAACCAGCAGCAGCTTCTTTAGCAACTCCGGTGACGCTAATCGCATTGTTCCGCGCAGGCCGTTAACGTCCCTCGACCGCGTTGACGAACCCTTCAGTTTGCCGAAGTCATCCATATCAGCGATAACCGATCTTCTATTTACTTGATCAACCAGAATATTTGCCGGTTTAATTTAATATCCCCGTGCATAATCTGTTGGTGATGTTCTGGGCCAGTGGGGCTCTTCGGCGATCCCCATCATCAAAGAACTAGGAAAGCGACTGAAATTACATACCGGAGCAGCACGATCTTTCAAAGGGGAGATGCGGCATCCGTTCTTGGGACAATGAAGGGAACAGAAAGTTTAACTGAGATTTTGCTGTTATAATTTATAAAAACAAGATATTTATCTGTGCTGCAGTATGAACAAAACAGCTTTAATCTAGTGCTTGGTACGCTCCAAATAGAGCCACTTTAAAAAAGGATTTCCAGACAGCCACCCTTAGCAGATACAATTGATTTTTTTTCCTGAAGGCCTTATGAAACAGAATTGTAATCCTGAACATTTATTGGTTAATTACGGTAATTCAGTCTTGCGTTATCCGTATCGTGTTATGTAGTGTTATGTAATACTGCGCTTCTATTAATTTGTGATTAAATTTTATCAAGCCGTGCTGTTGGGAAAAATTATTTCTTAAATATATTGCGAGATCTGTAACTGCAGTTGAAGTGACAAAATATCTTGTAATCCAAAGAACCTCGCTAGGACGTTCTATTTGGCTACTGGAGGAAGCGCGAGGAATTACATCGCTGCTATCTGTGCTTAACCGATCCTATTATCGCGCTTGCAAGAAACAAACAGTGACTTACCTTAAGAGAGCGCGAGGACCAATGAAACTAAATAAAGATAATGGGATAAGAAATTTAATATTCGTGCATCCAGCTCATGCGGCATACGTTTCACCATATGCCCTCGGGATTCCATCGATGGTACCTTCGTGAGAATAAAAATTGCTCGTAGTATTTATTACGGCTCACAAAGCACCTTAACTGCAAACAGCGCATTTAAAATTGAGGCATGGATTTAACGTGGATCGGTGTTAGGGAGACCTGTAATACAATCATATTTCAGGATGGAAAATGTGCGAGAGCTATACCTAGCTGGTATCAGTATATGATAAGATACGAGCACTCACAGTCGTAACAACACCAACACTATCTACGCGTTTTCCATAGGAAATGGGGAAAACGACAGATTTCTCCGTAATCATATTTCTAGTATATTTACACTAAGCAAATAGACAAAGTAAGTAAGCTGATGACTATTAAATTCTACTCCTACCGTACACACCGTATATTTAACATTAACGGTCAAAACGTCGGCAGAGGTTTTGCGCGGTTTTCTCATTATTTTAAAAATAAGACTATGCTGCTCGAATTACCATGCTGTCAGAATTTGGGCATTTTAGTTTACTGCTCTACGCTACAAATTTCAATAAAACGTTTCGGTATGTCATCTTTTATGTGGATGCGAAAAGTTCTTATTTCCTAATTTCCAACAATTTTAAAATTTTCAAGAGTGGTGTTCCGCAACCACAATTAACTTTTCACATGATATTACTACTTCGGGACGCCAGTGTGGGAATTAACCGTTTTGCCCTTGTGGGCATTAACCGTTGACCGTTAACCGGGTATTAACCGAATAGTTAATTTTTATTTATATTTATTAAGTCTGCTTAATAAGCCTGATACGCCTGCTTAATAACATATATTCTGTAGCTCGATATTTTGAGCTCAAAAAATTATCTGAACATAAGCGTACAGATATGTTACTAACAAGGACATTTATTATGATGGACGGATGGACCGCGGTGACCTTGTTTACCACTCGCTGTATCATAACGATACGCAGCGACTGTGAATTTTAGCTTGCTAAATGTTAATCGTTCTTTTTGTTGTGGATACTGTGTTAAATGTCCTTGTAAGTACGCGCCGATTATCAAAAATTGCGGCAGAAGAAGCGCTGCGTCAGTTTTTATAATAAGCGTCCAGCGCAGCGAAGGTCAGCTTATTCAACACCGTGCAGTCCAGTTGCCGCAAGTCGATTTGATCCCAGCATTGCGGAATGCCGTCGCCACGTACCCCGTTGAACCTAATCAACCAGAAACAAATACAATTTAACCACAACTTTTATTCTGATTCAACGTTTAACGCGGTGACCATACTCACATCTGAAGAAAACCGAGAATGCCCGCCCGCTGATAAGGAGTGTCCAACGTCTGCCTCCAGCGCGCATGCATCGCGGTGACCTTGTTTAACACGCGCTGTGTCACAGGCGGACAGCTGTCATTGAGGGCTGCTAGAAACCGTTGGCATTTCTCGGCAGCGGTCTCGGTGCAGCAGAACCGTAACCACGGAATCGTTACGTCGAACCGTCCTGCATCGGCATCCCACATGCACGCCTTCTCGCTAGACAGCAGCGGCAGTCTCGATCTGTAGAACCGCTGCAACAAGGACTTGTCACCAGTCCCATCAGAGGCGGTGTAGTTAATCAGCAGCAACGCTTCACACACGGACATCCATTCTGCCAGCGCGCAGCATTCATAGTTCCGCGCCTGCTTGTTGAAACAGAGCTTCAACAGGGATACGCCCGAGAAGAACGGGTTCTCGCTACCGTTCTGGGCGATAAGCAGTATGGGCCGCAGTGCTTTCTTTTTCAACGTGTCGACGATACTCTGCATGCTGCACGCGAAGCGGTCATCTGGAAGGTAGTGGCTTCGTTCTTCATACGTCCTTTCATCAACCAATACCACGATTCGCGTGGCCGGCGAAACAGTACGTTCCAGCATCGCGCAGAGTTTGTATTGTTCATTAACGCTCAGATCCACGGTTATCCAGTCCGCCCATGGTTCGTGAACGGGTAGAGGACGGATGATAAAAGTCACGTGCTGCTTGTTAACAGGTTCCTGCAGCATGACTCTCCACAGTCCACACACTCTGCAATCAACAATCAGCACGCATTGGTGCAAGTATGTGGCCGACAGAGGACCTCTTATTGCCGCGAAAAAAAATTTTTTGGTAGTTCATTTTGACGTAGATACAAATAAAGGGGCACCCGAGCATGTGCATAACGTATACGGCTATATCCACGATCAAAATGGCGTTTTATTAACATAGTACTGTATTACATCCGAAGTAGCAATATCATGTGAAAATTTAAATGTGGGTACGGAATATCAGTTCTGAAAATTATAAAATTGCTGGAAATTTGGAACTAAGAACTTTTCACATCCTGTCGCCAGAACAACCGCCTGTGCAAACTAGGAATTTCCAGACTGCCTTGAGCGCATTCGTTTTACCTTAAGAATGAAACTTTAAATTTCCTAGGAATCCTAAGAAACCGATAAAAGTCAGGAACCCTAGAATGGTGATTACTTGGGCGAGTTGTCTGTCACATACTACCGCATATCTTCCATGGGAATACACGTTACTTTTCAATTTGTCAGCACTGAATTTCCCTTACCAAAATTAACACCAGCGGGATATTACTAGTTGACATCTATTCAGGCGACACGCTAGCCTGAACAGTGTGGTCCAGCGCAGTTTGGGTTCAGCAAAGATGCCGACAATTTTGGAACCGCCCGGACTGTGCAGATTAGATGGGAAACGGCCTGATGGCTTATCACTTTTTCCCTGGAAAAATGGCCTTCCTTTGATCTGGGATGTGACAGTTGTTGACACATTCGCTACTTCGTATGTAGCCGGTTCATCGGAAGCCGCGGGATCTGCAGCTGATGACGCGGAAACAAGAAAAAGAAGCCTGTATGCAGAACTCACTGATCGACATGTTTTTGAACCAATCGCCCTCGAAACTATGGGAAGTTGCGGCGGCAGTACCCGTCTTTTCATCAATGAAGTTGGTCGACGGATTAAGGAGCAAACAGGCGAAATGCGCGCTACCGAATTTTTGTGGCAGCGTATAAGTGTTGAAATTCAGCGTGGAAACGCTGCTTCTGTTCTGGGAACGGTTGGGTGTTCTAGAGAACTAGAAGAATTATTCTACTTATTCTAAGATGGTTTCTGATGTTCAAGTGTAAAATGGCGTTTGGCTTGTACAATTTGGCAATAAAATTATTGGTTAATATGCTTAAAAATCGGTATGTGAATCATGGCGCATAATTACAGTACGAGGAGGGGGTAAATACACGGGATAGACAGAAAAAACGGCAATAATAAGGGATAACCATTCACGTGTTGTGCAGCATGGCCAGCCACCATGGGAAGGCAGTCCAGCGACACTACACAAAATTCAGGCTTTGAGACCCGAGCTGCCTTCTCCGTAGACTCCTATGTTATACTCAAACACCTGCGTCTTGGACATTTCAGAATCAAACCGTGCAATCTGTATCTTAAAAGAACAAGAAATAATTAACAAGATTTTCGATACCACGCAAGCCGTGATCTATGAGAAACAAGACAAGTAAGAGCCACTTAAGTTTCCCATAGACAAAGCATAGGAGCTCCGTGAAAGCAAACCATCCAATTTCCTATGCTTAGTCTACGAGAAACTCAAATGGCTCAATCTTGCCTCAGTTTTAATAAGTGGCGAGTTATTTGGTATCAAAAATCTTGTAAATTTTTTCTTGTTCTTTTGAGCTATCGATTGTGCGGATTGGTTCTGAAATGTGCAAGATGAAGGTGGTTGAGTTTAACATAGAAGTCTACGGAGAAACAGCTCGAGACTGGAGTCTCAACGGCTGTTCTGCACTGTGTCACTGAACTGCCTTCTATTGGTGGCTGGCCGTTTTGCACAACACGTGAATGGTTATCCCTTATTATTGCCGTTTTTTCTGTCTATCCCGTGTATTTACCCCCTCCTCGTACATTACATTGTAGTCTGACGTCCCTGAGCAGAATCATATGCATATTCGCCACTTCCGTCAGCTTACTTACTGGCTCATCCGTAACTGTGAAATGACATCCTGGCTGAGAATAATACTGCCAAGAATCTCTATCGGAAGGTCACAGATACGCACGTCTTCCGGATCTGCAAATATCCGGCGGATACTTGTGTAATGCAGTACGCGTACTCGTTGAAATCCGTCACTTACCATACTCCAAAGAGGCCGCTAGGAAATTTTCGGCCACAATCAAGCTGATTGGTTCGCGCTCTCTTGACAACTGCTCGGCGAGGTAATTCTGGCACACCTTCCTAAGACAATCTTCATTCCAGAACATACTGCGTCCGGCAGCGTCACCGTGCACTTCAGCGCAAATAAAGGTGACCGTGTCGATCCCCACTCGGGCATACACACGACAGCCGCCATCAAACTGGTAGACCCCACCTGGTTCATGATGCTGTCCCATACAGCGGAAATAAAATTTCTCCGTTCCCGCCGTCCTTCGAAGGGGGCAGGTGATACCGCAAGGGTCTCCAGGACCGAGTATTATCTGGCAGGCGTCAATTAAAAATTTGGGCATACAATGCACTTCACGCAGCAAATGCGCCTTATCAAAAGCAACGATATGCTTTTTGTACAGGGCTCCGCTGGCTTCAGAACTATTTCCCTTGCCATGTGGGTGCGGTAAATAGGTAGCCAGCTGGCATACTGGCACGATACGGCGTTCAGATCGCTTCGTTTGATTCGATTGAACCACGCTAACAACGCAGAACATGTTGTTCAGATATTCTATAACAGCGGCGGGATGGAAAACCAGCGGTCCGCCAGCTGTATCCTGCAGCGCCACCTGCACGGGAATAGGCAGTGATTCCAAGCGGCGGAGGCGGACGACATGATGCGGTGAGAGTTGTCGGGTAGAAATCCATTCTGCGTTGGCTGCGCTGGCGTTGAAGTCAACGAAGAATTGATCGGCGCCAATATCCTGAACGTATCCCAGCCAAAATTGACCAGTGTCACGCTGCACTAACACCGTGTTACCGTAGTTAATCTCCCGCGCACCCAAGCGCCACTCCCGATAATAACGTAATGTTGGAGACATTTGGATGTTCGGACTGAAGAATATGGAGATCTGAATGTTGCAAAAGGATCCTGTCTGTATTTCCCAATCTCGACGGAACGTGGCGTATTAATTTTTTTAGATGGCCGGTGTCCGGTTGCCCGGTGAACTGAGGATACTATATGAGTTTGTGGCGCTCTTCGTTTAAGGCGGAAATTGAGTTTTCTGTTTACTGAAAAATAGGAAGTTCTGGTTCACCGAAAAAGATCCTACAAGTCTCTATGAAACTGGGCTGCTGCTCGGAAAGCGGAGCAGTTCAGAGCCACTAGAATAGAGTCTATTCTAGTGGCTTTGAGCAGTTGCTCTACTTCGCTGTTCACGGCACAGAAAATAGAACTCCTGTCAATACAGAGCGGAGCAAAGCGAAGCGGTATTGTTTATTCCCTCTATGGTACTCGTAGAACTAGAGAGAACATTCATTAATTTTGCGGCGTAGGGCAGCTCGCTTGAGTGGCCGTGGTCGGTGGTAGCCATAATTCTGAATGGCAGTTTGCCAGCGCAGGCGCCAGTTCAACACAGTAACTGTTCCGGCAATATAAGAATGATGTTCAGTAGAATCACAGTACGATACATCGAAACCTGGTTATTAAAATCTAGTCGCCAACCCTTAGCGCAGCCTTGCAGTCTTTAGATTGCGTGGCAAAAAAATACACGTTGGCACGATGCACGTTGTGGATTACCATGGGGACCCTCACTGATTATTGAAAAATTACGTGGTATGCTAATTCGGCATTATTTTGCAAAGCGTGGGATGTTGAGAGCCACCAAGTGATACTTCAATTTTCTAAATACTCCTCTTAACGTCTGTTGAAATGGTCATACTTCTCCAAAAACGTCGAAACCGCTCAGCAACAGCATATTTTGTGAACATTTTGTTTCTAGGTAATGCCGAGCGAAGATCATACAACGCTCTTCTCAAAAACGGTGGTTTTTGTTGTGCATTCCCAACAGCGTTTCCACTTTCCACTACTGTTGCCGCAAAGTCGGACGAGTCTGACAAGATGGACTGGATGACATCATCCAGTCTGCCGACCAAAACGAGCAAAGCACTACTGGCGGGAATAAATTAAGGAATGCATTGTTAGTTAGATCAAAGGTCACACAGCACTTGGTAAAATATTATAGCCCTGCACTAACAGAAGCTGGACAGTTTGTAGTGAGGGTCGGAATGCAGTTGTCACCGGCTGATGAGCTTGTTGCAGCTGTTTTATGCTCATCAGCGAGTGTTGCAATCATGACACTGAACACAGGCGTGCGATTCTGGGCAAGGTCACTATGCATGTCACGGTTGTCTACACTTGAATGTCACGTTCCAGCGCTCAACCTGGCAAGTTTTTATTTGACAGCAGGCTGGAAAACAATACGGCGTTCGTTCAGCGTTCGTTCTTCGTTCAAAATTTACTATGTACGTACTATTTATTTATGATCTATATGAGCGCGGCAGCAGCTTTTCTCGGGCCGGGTTTTGGTGCAGGTGAAGCGGAGCGGAATCCGGCACCGCCCACTAAGGCTTGCATCTTAGGCGACATGGGGACGACGTAGTCAACGGGAGGAGTGTCGAATAGCGGTCTGTCTGAGTATAGACGGGAATTGGAGAAACCGGCATACTGAGCGAACCTGACAATAATGCTATAGCCGTTATCAGCATCCGTACGTGACAGATTTGGGATGTGACTTTTCGTTAGACCGTACAAGATATTTAACTACTTACTTTTCGCAGTCAACATTGAAGAAATAATCACAGACCAGTGTAATCTGGTTGAAAACAGTCGTATTGGTGCACAAATAGCTGGTCATGTTTCCATTGATTTCACACCTGATGTTCACGAAGCACTCATTAGTGTATTAAGAAGACCGCTATTTCGAAGCGCCGACAAACCTATGGAAAACCTGACAGCGTGTGTCGACATCCGCATAGAATCCCGGGCTCGTCAGCGCGACACAGTCGAATTTAATGCTAACCGGTATTTCCGCCAGTACAGGATACGACTCTCCAGGCATAGCAACGGATAAAATATTGATCACTTCCGCTGCTGACATGGCTGGTTTCAGGATGTCCCATACGTATTGCTGACCACTGGCCGCACACAGAACAGCGAAAACAATGACCACACGGATTTCCATGGTATCCTAAAACGTTTACGCAAAGTATTTTTAAAGTAACGTAGATAATGTGACGACAGTGTGTAGACCGAAGAAGCGGAGATACTGCTGCTGACCGTAAAAGTTTGGAACGTAAATCAGTAAATGAACGCCTAAATGCAGCCGGGACATGCTGTAGTTTTTATACAAATTAGGCAGCTCATGATTATAGATGTGCGCTTTGCTTGCGTAACATGAGTAATCACATTACTGAACCTGCACTCGGAAGTAGACCCCCGGCTACTTATTCGCAGTGTTAATTTACGTTATGTAATCTGTAGTAGGAAGTCAACTTCCTGCTATTTTATACTATGTAGCTAGAGGTGTTTACTTCCGTGTTGGCCGATAACAAACAAAGCGGCTGCGCAGTTAGAAATCAGCGTTAGGTTTGATTATCTACTAGTCTCGTGATGTCTAGCAATGAAAAACCATGCGTTGCAATGGTGCTTCATTTTCTAGCTTTTACTACCGCTGTTTAATCAGATTGACCGTTCCATAATGATGTATCAAACGTACAATATTCCACGATCAACCCCTCTTTTGCTCAAAGACTTATTGAACTCCTTAATGACCTTTCCATAAATAATGCTTTATGCTCACATTAACACTACTATAACGGACAAGAATTTTGAACAAATAGACAACGAACCACGTTGTGGCAATCAAGAAAATAAGCCACATACTGTTAACAAACAACACAGCCACAAATCCTGATAGTGACCTTTTTATAACTTTAAATCACCCTCCAGCAACGATGAATACCATTACATTTGACTATATGAGGATGCTCTAAATCAAGCATTCCATCCGGCCAAACATTTTTTTTTATTATTACCACTAAAGTTAGAAGTTTCGTGTTGAAGACACCCCACCAGTCCCAATTATCTTTACAACTTGGTCCTTGTTACTGAACAAGCTGATACGGTAGCCCACACCCAGAACGGAACCCTTCCGGTTCAGCTCATCACATTTAACCTCAAAGCGTTATACAACAATATGTACGGAAAAAAGATCGGACACCTTCTTCAAGAAATTACCACACTAAAAGACAACAAAGACAAAATACAACAACGAAAACAACAGCAGCATCAACAAACTGGATCGACAACTACCATTCTTCAACAAAATTCTTCAAACGTTCGGCGTGCTACTTATCCTAGAAATCTCCCGAGAATAAGCGGAGAGTCCCACGGAGACGTTTGCGGGGTTTCTGAAGCACCCGATTAGGAAAGTTGCACCCGATTCTAGGGATGGATGGAAGCAACGACATGAATAAGCCTTAACTTGTTCCTTATTTTACGTCTACCAGTATCTAGCGCGAGACCATTTGTGTTTTAGGTACTATGACAAGGGCAATTTTTATTTGAAGTCTGTACTAGTCTTAAAGATGAGCAAACTTTGGTTCTGTACTTCAAAAGTATGGCATAGCCGGTTTATGGAAGCTTTTAGTCAGATCGTGCTAATGCGTTTTTAAAAAAAATTGATTCTGTCTGGCTGAGTTTTAGAACATGGGGTTTCTGATTATAGCAGTCATGAAAGGTAATAAAATAATTCAGGATGCATAATGAAAGGTAATAAAATCTAAGCTGGAACATCAAAGGCGCTGACGCTAACGCAACGTGTAAAACAAAGTTAAGCGGCGAAATCGAAAACGCATGCGGAATGGGTGATCATAGTAATTTTTTGGGATATAGGTTTGAAATGAGGCTGACAGGTGCGGAAAGGTAAGCCAGTATTTTTCGACTCTTTGCTCGCAAGAACCACCCGTAACTACTCCCAAGCCCATATCGCGTAGCTCCATTTGCAGTTGCTGGCCTGTACTGTGAATTCGACGGTGGCGTTGCCGGCGAGAGATGGAGCAGAGCGCAAATGGGCAGCCCAAGGAAACTACGGAAAGCCGTTAAATAGAGACATGAAAGATTTACATAAATTATTTAACTTACACCAGGGCAGTTGATGTCTGGCCTCTGACAGAAAGCCCTCACGGCATGGTCAATGTCGGTGTAATGTGTGAGGCCGTCGGTGACCAGTACCGCCACATCGTGCACATCGTTCCATGTGCAGCCGGCTTCGTGGAGGATATCCTTTATACATTCCATGACCCACTGGACTTCCTGGTAAGTGATAGTCTCAGTACGGGTGGTGTCGCCGAGGAAGTCGTCGGGGACTTGCACGGACATTAGATACAGGATCTTGCCGACACGAGTGGCGAACCTGATTAAAAGAGACAATGACTACACAACGCAGACACTGTCAGCATCTTCAACAATCTGAAAGTTGTATAAAAAAATTCGTATTAGCGACTTAATCAGTGAATAAAAATATCTTCTGAATTTTAGGAAATTCATTTCTTTCAGTTACCATTTTGCGCACGTATTGTCATTTCACATAATCAAGTGCTGTGCTGCTGTTAATCAAGTTACGCTACATGTTGGGACACAGTAGCATTATCGCACGTGCGAGCAAGCGCGAGTGCATCCGGCAGTGTTGCGCTTTTGGCCGAAGACAGTAAACGTCGTAAGTACGCGTTTGTGGAAGAAATGGGATATCTTCTTTATCCCCTGGCGGTCGAGACCTTTGGAACTTTTGGTCCGGCATTTGCGGAGCTTATTCGTTTCGTTGGCAGAAAGATTCGCGACGCCACAGGGGAGCCCCGTTCTACTGCATTTTTAAAGCAGAGATTTAGCCTTGTTGTTGTAAAAGGAAATGCTGCTGCTGTTTTGGGCACTTTGGATATGCGTTCTAAAATGACTGATGGCGCTAACGATTTTGGTTGTTTTTTTAATGTTTAAATGTGAATCATTTTGCGTAGTATTCTGCGTATGCACTTTTTGTTGTATTGATGGCTTTTGCCCAATAAAGAGTGTTAGTTACGCAAATGTCTCAGCTGGTGCCACTGTAAACGCAAAAGCGATTTCCTAAACAAACATGTGTCTGTGTCTGTCGATTTCCAAAGTGTCTGTTTGAAATCATTTTCCAAGTAATATTCACGCTACTTCCGGTAATAATGGATTAATATAGAAATCTCCTGATCATAACTGCTTCGTGACCATTTAGTGCTAAGAAATCACTTACGGCTTCGAGTAGTTTAAGCGTTCAAGTTTAGCTGCCGTGTCCAGCGAACGAGGCCAATTCAGAGAGATAGTATGTTCTGGCTCGCTGCAGCATTCGGGCTGCGGATGATGATCCCGGCCAACCACTACAATACACAACATCATATTGAATGTGAGTGATGTTACGCAAAGGCAATCGAAGCGTGGACAGCAACTCCTCGTTACCCTCGCCTGTAAAGTTGCAGTTACTGGCCTGTACTGCGAACTCGACAGTGGCGCTGCTGCGTAAAGCAAGAGCAGTCCGAAAATGGGCGATCCAAGGATACTATGGTAAATTCAGTTAAGAAGAGGAGCGACCAAGGAAGTTATGCAGTCTGCTTACATCAAGGCAGTTGTTTTCTGTTCTACCGCAAAATTCGCCCATGGCCATGCGAACGTTCTTGAAGTTATCGGTGCTGCCGGTGACCAACACCACGACATCGTGCACATTGTTCCAGCCCGAGGTACAGCCGGCTTCCTTGAGGATTTGGTTCGTCAAATTCATGATTTGCAGGGATTCGAGGTATGGGTTTCCCGGGTGGATGATTTTGTCGTGGTGTTTAAGGGATTCGAAGGAGCGCAAAGAGGTCAAGTGCAGGATCTTGCCGACACGGACGGCGTAACTGGTTAATAAAAAAAACCAACGATCAGCATCTGTGCCGACTCAAAGTCATGAGGAAAGCTCTTGAGAATTTCAGATCAGCAAATAAAACTATGCTACAAATTTTCAGACATCGTTTTAGTGTATTTTGACCGCATACTGAATATTATTGCTTAAACGTTTAAGCCTAAGCAAGTGCTGTTATACGAGCTCGTATTAAATGAGTATGTGCTCGCTTTAAATGAGTTGTGCCCTGTGCTCATAACTGCGTTGATAGTACTTGGTGTTCAGAAAATAGCTTACTTCCACGGCTTTGGATTATGGGCTTCTCCAGTTGGCGCTTTATTGGCAACTCCATTTGAGGGCTTAGCTGCGCCTTCACTGAGCGCCAGTAACGAAGACAGCGCGACAGTGTACTTCGGCGCGCGGCAACATTCGGAATGCAGAGATTGCTCCTCGTCAGCCACTGCAATCCATAACACCATATCGAATGTGCATGAAAACACCAGCCAAAGACAATCGATCAACTGACAGAAGCGCTACATTAACAAAGGTCACTTACGGCTCGTTGCGACGACAACCAGCAGACCAACAAGGATAATCAATTTCATGGTGGAAAACAAAGAGAAGCACGCAACGTGACCAGGAATAAAATCAAAATCTCCCATGGATGTATGCAAATGTAGCACCTGATATGGAACTATTGGATTTGGCAAACGTTTATAAATGCATTTACTAAGCTCATCAGAAAGGTATGTCAGCAACAAAAAATTTGAAACTGCCTTTTTTCCGGTTTCATCGCTGAAAGTCTTCAAAAATTCAAGGAGTACGATACCAAATGCAATACAAATTCCGATAACCACTCCAAAATTTGTCGGTATCGGTAGCCGGAGCGATATAGACCACACGCGAGGAACCTGCTTGGTACTAGAAATTGGTTAGTAGAATTGCTTACGTAAGTACAAACCGCCACCACAAATTTAAGACCGCTTCGAAAAAGATGTCATCAAAATTGTCAAGTGCTGTTGTTCTCAGTGAACAGCCGTGTAGCCAACTGCATTAGAGAAGTGTTATTTTGAAAAATGTATAACTGGTGTAAAAGTTTCAACCAGGTATGATACTGATAATGTGCCACGGAATACTTATTATATTCTCAAAAAATATAAGCGAACACAAATTGTCAACATTTGTGGTAGACCTTAATCTGATTAAACAAAACAAACCAACCCCATTTACAACACTTCGCCTTCGCTAGTGTTTTTCCAGCCTGATCGGCTAAGTATGACTCACTACAATTCACCATAAGAAAATTCTCAAACCATGAAAATCATGGGAATCACACACAGCGTCACTGTAATTGCGTGGCATCATTATGATTTGCGGCATAATATTGTTTTTATTCACAACATGCCATACGTTTCAATTGTTCAAGTCTGATCGAATGAATACTGCACAGATGTAATGGTACTTCTATTCACATAATACGTAAACATTAACAGAAGGATAAGGCTCTGCCGCAAACACATAGTATACGACATTCCTTCGCCGAAATTCGTAAATGCTACCACATGAACACAAAAACAGAGTAATGTGGCAATGGTAGTAGAAATACAAACGCAAGAGTATGTACGCGTCGCGTACATAGATAATATAATGACAATTAACGAGTTAATTGATGTTAATGTTAGCTGGAGGACATGCGCTCCCGCACTTTCTCCTTTCGCCGTGTGTGGCGAGTTACGTGAGTCTGTTGGTGGCGCTGCGCGTCGCCGTGGCGCTTAGATCAAAGCGACCGCCGTCATGCACGGGCATGCCGTTTGCACTTGGCACTGTTCGTACGCTCGCATTACATGTTTCTGCAGTTCTCATTGCTCTCTGTTTTGCTCCTGCGATCGTGTGCGCGCGAGTGATCTGTTCTTTTACCACCCGCCACACCCTGCTGTTTTCTTCTGCTGTTATTTCGCACTTGCTCAATAAAGGGGCCTTCGGTTGCGCAGGGCACTGGTCGCTCTCTTCCGCCGACCCGGTCGGCCGGCTTCTCGCTGAACCACGGTCACCGCACGCAGCCGATCACCGAGAGCACCAGCCTCCCAGCAGCCGGGGCTCCAGCGCCCCCAGTGGATTCCGGAAGCGGTAACATTAACAGATATATAAAAACGAAGCAAATGATTTCTGACGGAAGAAATACGTTCACTACGAGTCGAATAAAAACACGTAGTTAAATCGTGATTTAACACTCGCACAATTCGCACTGCCTGGGAGATGCTCGCACAACATCGCGATAATATATATCCAGGTGTCTAGAGATATTATCGCACGATATCGCACATAATCTCACAATATCTTGATATTATATCGATAATAATAATAATATATCTTGAAATACTGAATATCGAGAAACCTCGGGATACCTATATATTATTTTCTCGAGATAGGTAAGTCCCGCGTCACCGAACGACCTGGCAAGTCATATTTGACAGCCAGCTGGAAATCAATACAGTGTTCATATCAAATTGTATTTTGTTCTTTTACCTCCGCAATTTGCCGCTGATCATAAGGATATACGAGGGGATGTCAGTAGCGCACCTAGATAATCCCCTGTATTGCTGCCGTCACCCGCCTGGAGTGTGACGTTACGGCAATACATATGGTTAAATCTGGCGCGGTACATAAGCACCATGTATAGCCACAACGTCATGCTCCAGCCGGCTAACGGCAGCAAGTACAGGGATTATCTAGGTACGCTACTGACATCCCCTCTTATGTAGCATTGGTCAAATAGTCACATGCTGCGGTTAATTAAGGAAAGGTGTTCTGTATACTTGATAACAACGGTATCTTTAAAATGCTGCACCATAGTGCAAGCATAATCAATGTACGCGTTTCCCGGTACCTGTAACACTGCTGCAATTCAGCTGACCAGTTAAAGCAATAGAAATGCTAGGACAAACTTTATTGTGAAACTTGTGCTATCAACCACTGACTTACAAAAAAAAATAGCAATGAATTCCGATAGCAGCGAAGCCACCCCGGCTGTAGCGAATATAGTTTAAAATTTATTGATCTTCGCAATTTTTACTGTTTGCATGTTGTATGAAATAAAAAACTCTGCTAAACAACGAGATTATTCGGAAGATTCAACAGGGGTGGCCGTTGCGGTTTCCGCACTGGCCTCCTCACCGACTACCAGCGGCAGCGGTATCTTGATCGGTCGGGGCAGTGGACGCAGCTTCCGTCGTCACTTCTTGTGTCGCCTATACAGCAGCGGTCGCCGTGCCGGTGTTTGCCGCTGTGGCAGCTGCTTTGTCTATTCCAGGAGATGGCGCCGGGGCTTTGGGTGCCGGTGACGGCATGGCAATCAGGTTGGTTGCGGCCGCTGCGGTGGAATACAGACGGGAACTGGAGAGGCCGACATACTGAGAGAACCTGACAAAAATGCCATAGCCGTTGCCAGCATCCGTACTTTGTATACATACTTAAGATTTGATTCCTTGTTAGACAGTACTAGATGTTTAGCCACTTACTTTTGGCACTCAACATTGGAAACGTAATCACAAGCCAGTGTAATCGGACTGAAAAATGTCATATTGGTGCACAAATAACTGGTCAAGGTTCCGTTCTCATCACACCTAAAGGAATGTTCATGTAGCACTCATAAGTATAGTAAAAACCCAATATTAATTTGCATCGCCGACAAACTTATGGAAAACCTGACAGTGTGTAGCGACGTCGGCATAGAATCCCGGGCCCGTCAAATCGTTACAGTCAAATTTAATGGTAACCGGTAATTTCGCCAGCGGAGAATACGTTGGCCCGGGCACAGCGTTGGTTGAAAGATTTATAATCTCCGCCGTTGACTTAGTCAAATTCAGGATGTCCCACATGTTTTGTACTTGCTGTCCACTGGCCGCACACAAAACAGCGAAAAATATGGCCTTACGTATTCCCATGGTATACTAAAACGTTTACGCCAAGTAATGAAGGAAGTAAGTGAGATAATGTGACGACGGTGTGCAGAACGATGAAGCGGAGATACTAAAGCTGACCGCTATTTGGAAAGTAAATCGCGCTGAATACACGCTGAATTCTGGACGGAACCTGCGGTAATTTTTATACAGATTATGCAGCTTGTCATAACGGATACGCTCTTTGCTTGTGCGGCATGAGTAATTATGTTAAGTTATATGCAGCCGGAAGTAGCCTCCCGGCTACTTCTTTGTCATGTGATTCGTGCTACATATGAATACCAGGAAGTCACCTTACGGCTATTGTTCTTCTATAAGTAGGATTATAGCAAGAGGTGTTTTAATTCTGCGTCGGCCGATAACAAACCAAAGCGGCTGTGCAATTAGAAATCAGCGTTAGGTTTAAGGCCTTGAGGTATCTAATAAAGAAGTGTTTTACGTTACAATGGCGGGTTCAGTAGTTTACTCCCATCTTTTATATCGACCTTACCATACTGTCAGATACTGCTACATCTAATGAACCGCCGATATACCAGTATGCACTCTTGGATTGTGGGGACTACAAATTTGGAGCAAACAGGCAGACTATGCGTTGCCAGTAAGTTAAGCCACTCACTGTTAAAAAAAAAAACAAAGTAACAGATCCCGATAGTGACTATTCAACCGACATTAAATCGCCGTCCAGTATCATCACATTCGAGAATGTTCAAATCCATACCGCACTGCAATTATTTATACCGCACCACAAGAGGTTTAGAAGACTGCGCCTTCAAGGCATCCCAATCCAAGATACGAGTATCCATTTGACCTCTGTAACCTGATCAGTGTTACTGAAAAAGCTAACGCGCTAATCCACATCCTGAACGGTATTCCGTTTCAGATCACAAAATCCAACGCCATCAAAGCGCTCCACTAAGCAACTAGTGGTACGGTTTCCCAGACAATCACAGCACCAGCAATGTGATCGGAAACCTTTATCAAAAGGCAGCAGCAAACTGGATCGCCAAATATTGCTGTTGTTTAAACGTCCGGCATGCAACTTTCGCCTAAAGATTTTCCCAAATTTGATTTTCGCGAGTTTATTGGATCCTATGAAAGCAATCCTCGAGTCAATAAACAGATGAACGGAAGCGATGAAACTGACGCATTTCGACTTGTGCTTCATCAACAAAAGCCTAGATTAGTGGGAATCAAAACAAACAAAACACGTGCAATTTTCGGACCCACTGACATTGAGTCGTTTGCTGTGATGTAACCAAACAAGAACAAGCGTAGAAATCCACGCATGGATCAACAGTTTTTTTCATGCTGGAGACGATTTCACGGGCTAAAACAAACGTAAGCAAATTGTTCATCGCCTAGCCTACCTATCTTAATTTTAGTAGGCGCAGTGCTTTCTTTCTCATTGTACCGAGTATACTCTGCCTGCCGCGCGCGAACCGGTCGTCGGGCACGTAGTGGCTTCGTTCTTTATACGTTCTATTTCATCAATCTGTACCAAGGACCGCGGTGGTTTTTGTTCGGCATTTCCATTACTGTTTCCGCTACTGTTCCGGACAGGGTCTGACAAAATGGACTAGATGGCTCTGTAGCCAACCAGGGTCAGCAAGGCAAAAATGGCGGGATGCATTAAATTGCCATCAAGCAAAAGGCTGTTGATGGTTTTATGATGGAGTAAGATTACAATTTTATCTTGGTTACAACTGGTGGTCGGCGGCAACTACTGAACTGATGGCATTTAAAGACCTTTAATGCTTAAACCAAGAGAGTGCCGTCGCTAATCATTACCAGACAGGCCGACCGTTTCGAGTCCTTCCATTTTCGTCGTAGATATCCAAAAGGCAACTGCTTCGCAACTTTCAAGACAGTTCACATTACCAGTTGACAATACCAGCTCATAACGGACTCTACGAAAAGCACAACAGAACCGCCTACGTAAGTGATTCACAGCACAAGATACAGTAATTACCATAATCCATAGATAAACCATAGATTACGAAATTTTTGATTACTTTTAAATGCCAAACAATTCTTAATAACAAACGGCTGTTGCTCCTTCTTAATGGGCTGTTTATGATGATTCATACAAGTTCACGTAATCACTGGAAATTTATGACTGCGCTTATAACCAACAGACATGCTACACGTGACGCAATATTAGTTGGAACAAAGATCACAAAGCACCAGGAAAAACTATTACCTGAAATACTATCACCTGAGTGTCACTTGTATACGTGTGATTTTATAAAAAACTGCCAGGTCAAGGGTCACCGCTCGACCTGGCAAGTTTTTATTTGGCAGCTGCATGGAAAAAATTACCGTGTGGTTATGAAATTTCACAATTTTATTTTGTTCTTCCACGTATTGCCGTTGATCGTAATGATGTAGCATAGGTCAAACGCTGTACATGCTGCGACAAATTTGTAAAAAGATCGTTCGGTATAATTCATAACCCGGGAAGCTCTAAATGTCGCAGTAATGTGCAGTATAACGCGAACGTAGTTAACGTATAGGTGGCACGGATAGCGGTAACACTGTCGCCTTTTCTACTGTCCAGTTAAATAACAAAAAAATCAGGACAGACATTATTACCGAACCTGTGCATTCATTCTCTGACTTAAAAAAAGAAAATAAGCAAAGATTTAAATAACAACGAAGCTACACTGGTTCAGCGATCCTAGTTTGAATAATGATCGCAATATTTAGTACTTGCAAGCCTGCATGCTATATCAAACAAAAAAATTTTGTACCAACATCCAGATCGTTCCAATGATTCGAAAGCGGCGGCCGTTCTTAACTGACCGCTGATGTGTAAAACTGAGCGGCAGCGGAAAAGGGCTACCCGGCCGGGTCTCTCTTGCATAAGATGGGGGTGTTTCCACCGCCATTGATGGGTTCGGCGGGGGTTCTGCCAGCTGGTGCCGGTGATCTGGGTGCGGCAGTAGCTTTGCCCCCTGCGGGTTTTGGTGGAAGTGCAGCGGAAGAGGATCCGGCAGCGTCCACTAAGGCTTTCATTTGAGGCGACATGGGGGCTACGTAGTCAGCGGGAGGAGTGTCGAAGAGCGGTCTGTCTGAGTACAGACGGGAATTGGAGAAATCGGCATACTCTGCGAACCTGAACAATGCCATAGCCGTTGCCAGCATCCGAAAAATTTATGTGCTCAGGATTTGATGCCTAGTTAGACCGTATTTAATATTTAACCACTTACTTTGGGCAGTCAACGTTAAAGAAATAATCACGACCAGTGTAATCTGGTTGAAAAGAGTCATATTGGTGCACAAGTAGCTTGTCATGTTTCCGTTGATGTCACACCTAACGTTCACGAAGCAATCATCAGTACAATAAGAAGCCCGCTATTTTCTGGCAAAGACGAACCTGTGGAAAACCTGACACTGTGTGTCGACATCGGCATAGAATCCCGGGCCGTTCTGCGCGCAGTTGAACTTGCTGGTGCCCGGTATTTGCGCCATTAAAGGATAGGACTCTCCAGGCAGCTCATTGATTAAAATGTTAATGATCTCCGGTGCTGACATGGTTGGTTTCAAGATATCCCACACATATTTCTGACCACTCATTGCACACAGAACAGCGAAAACTATGGCCCCACGGATTTCCATGATTGTACTAACAAATAAGGGAAGACGCTTACGCCAAGTGTTAAAGGAAATCACCGAAGAAATATGGCGTCAGTGTGCCAACCGACGAAGCGGAGATGCTGATGCTGACCGGTAAAATTTGGAGTGTAAATCAGTACATTCACACTGAAATCCACTAATCTGCAATAATTTTTTAATACAAAATAAGAAGCTCGTGATTATATACTACACGAGTACACGCGCTTTGCTAATTGTCTGGAATGAGTAATCAAGTTCTGTAATCTGCAGTCGGAAGTAATCTCCCGGCTGCTTCCTCGTCAAGTAATTCATGTTACATAATCGTCCGGCTGCTGTTTACTATAAAGCTAAAGGCGTTTTACGAACCGACGCGGCCGCGCATTTATTCAGCGTTTGATCAGCGTTCGATTTAGTTAGTCCTGACATGTCTGATAATGAAGGGCTTAATTGTTAAACGACGTCCCGGCTGAGAAAGACGCTGGCAGGAATAGCAACTGGAAGCTCGTTGACATGCATTTCAGCAAATATGCTACGGAAAGAACGCTTTCTTTAACGCATTATCATCGTTGAAATTCAATGATTCGTCGAGAACGCTAGAAAGCTTTTACCCGAGAACTTTGCCGAATGGCTCAGCGTCTCCAGACAACTGTTCGACGAGTTAATTCTGGCACATTCTCTTAAGACAGTCCTTGTTCCAAAAAACTGTGTCCAGCAGCGTCCGCGTGCACTTCGGCGCAAATGAAGGTGACCGTGGCGAGTTCCGCACGGAGATGCACGCGGTATCCGCCATCAAACTGATAGACACCACCTGGTTCGTGATGCTGCTCCTAGAGCCCTGCGCGATCGGTAAATGCTTGGCCCACGCTCGCTCGTGGTAGTTTAATTTGGCAGGGGTTAAACGTGGCAGTGGCACCTGCCAGTGGCATGGCAAGCAATAAAACCTGGAGAGTCTGGCAAGTAACAAGCGATAAAACTTGACAGATGCCGCATTAAATGTGGCACCACGTATAAGCGAGCTCGGAGAGTTTGGCCAACTGTCCATTCTTGAAAGGACATAATCAATTCTCCCTATAAAGTGTTAGCAGCATTATCGATGTACAAAGATCGCAATTAAGCTCCTTCGTGTACAGTTCAAAAGGTAACATTGTACGGTTGCGCAAAGTACCACAAAGAAAGTACTTTGTATAACAAGGCGCATTTGAAGTTGAAGTGCATTCGCGGTATTTCCAGATCTTAGAGGGACACTGCTAGAATATGCCTTGCGCTTGAGCATGATGCTTTATTCCGATATTTAAAATTTAAGTGCAGTTGATAAATAAGTGTCAGTGTTTGCATCGTATCTAAATTTCTCCGCACACCCCTTTGGTGCCGGTGGCTGAACTTGTGAGGATCCTTACCGTAAGTTAAGCTCAGCCATAAAGTTAAGGCTTCTGTCAAACCCGAAGCAAAACTGGCATGTGATTGTGATTAAGCCGCTCGTTTTTGCTGATGTGATGAATTTTTATTGCTAAAAATGAAAGGTCAAAATCCGGTTACATAAACTATAGCGCGTCGACAGGGCATTTTTTAACAAATTCAGTGATAGAGCAGTGATAGAGCAGCAGCATCTAGAAATGCGAAAAGTTGTACAAGCATACTTACTTTGAGCGACTTGATTCGCCTCAGGTTGAGTTTGATTTAATTTAAAAATATTCGCAAAAACTTGTAGCAATTTAATACCTAACTTGTGATTTGGCGGTATTTGATTTTGTAAATTATCTGCCAAAATGGAGGAAATCGGGATGACCGCTGTGGAAGATGATGATAAGATACTTGACGTAATTCGCCAACGGCTTTTTGCTTCTTTCGAACTGCTGCAACACTGCGAGAACCGTAAAACTTCTTAGCTTGCAAGTTTTGGCTTTGGACTGATGGCGACCTGTTTTTGCTCAACTAGTTGTGTCAGTTTTTTCGATTCTGTTGAAAGGCATCTTTGTTGAAACAGTTAGCATAAAATTTTGAATTTTTTGTTGTAAAAAAATTGGCAGAAGTTAATAAATAAATTAATAATCTATCCCACCAATCACATCACTTCCTGTTCACATTCCCATCACATCCCACCACCAAAACCTTGGTGGGATGACAACCCTACTCCACGGCATGCCATCAGTATTATGGACGACAAACAGTTTCGAACGGAAAGGAAACTAGTGCTATAATCGCCTGTAATCATCACGAGACTATGTCTGCAGAGAAACAGACAGAGTTTACTGATGGTGAGTGGAGCCGCGTTTTCGTAAAAACTGTTTTGACGAAAAACGGCTAGGCCCAGCATTAAACGGTGTCATGTTTTAATTTTTAGTCTGATATACTACGATACTGACTCATCTCAACTGTTCGGTATACGTGCACGTGAACTTCGCTGTTATTCCAACAAAACCGGCGCCATTTATATGGCACTTTTACATTCACAGTGTAGCTCCGCAAGCAGTTAGACTTCCTTATCTTCTTGCAAAACTGTACTCAAGGGGTTAGCACTCCTTGAGTACAGTTTTGCTTCTTGTTAAGCTAACTAATTACTTTGCCAGTTGTATATAACGGCGAAAATAGGCCAAGCGACACAATCAGATGAACCCGGGCGATATAGCAATAAAAATAGTACATATAAATATATTCTGCTGCTGTTTGCGTAAGTACGTTAAAATCAATCACACTGAAGGTATGACTCTGAATCTAGCTTAATTTTTAGATTGTCTAACAATGCCGGCACCTGCCGTTACAGTCACGTTTATTTAATATGGAGTCTTTTAAACTGGATAAGAATCATAGAACCATACTAACGCGCTACGTAAAGATAAATTCGTATTTTTTGTATTTGCGTTCTCGGTATTCGAGTATTTGACTATGATACCTGTTTGGGTAAGTAATAAATAGTTCTGTTTTTTGTTGCCTTAATCAGTACTGACTTTTGGCAGTTTCCCACCTTAAAGCTTTTGATACGTCTGAACACATTACCCTTGGGTATTTTTAATATGCGTATTACAACCTAGATATGAAATTATGTTGGTTCATTGGTTCTCACTTCTCAGGTTACCTTTAAAGGTCATATAACCCGATAAATAAATTGTGCAGTTAAAACAGACACGTAGATGTAGTGCCCCGTGGTTCATTATAGTGCAGCGGCGACAACAACAAAATATGCTAATTGTGAGCTGCACATCTGCACCGTACTGGTACAGATCTTTACCTTTACCAAGACAACTCCCACATTACAGCAGGGGTCGTTGTGTTCTGATCGGTCGGTTCCGCGAAGACAGCTTCCGTTGTCTCTTCTGTTGTCATCTCCGCAGTGGTCTTCCTGGTGGTTGTCATTGGGACAGCTGCTGCCGGTGCTTTGCCCTTTCCAGTTGGTAGAACCGGGGCCTTGAATTCCGGTATCGGCTTGACAGTCGGTTCGGCGGCGGTGGCTGTAGTGATACCCTTAGTCAGTACCATTTCCTCCTTGGCCCGGGTGATTGTTGATGCGTTGGACTGAGCGGTAGCAGAAGAGGGCTGCCCGGCCGGACCACTCTTGGTGAAAATCGCGGTCTTTCCTTCGACTTTGATAGGCTCAACCGGGTCCTTGCCAGCTGGTGCCGGGGAGCTGGGCGAGGCAGTAACTTTGCCCGGGGCGGGTTCCAGTGCAGGTGCAGCAGAGGGGGATCCGGAACCCCCTACTAAGACTTGTACGCCAGGCGACAGGGGAGCACCGTAGTTGATTGTATAGTAATCGAGATACTCAAAAAACCTGAAAACAATCGCATAGCCGTTGCCAGCATCCGTACTTTATATACTTAGGATTTGATGCCTTGTTAGACAGTACTAGATGCTTAACCACTTACGTTTGGCACTCAACATCGGAAAGGTTTTCACAAACTAGTGTAATCGGATTGAAAGCAGTCATATTGGGGCACAAATAGCTGGTCACGGTTGCGTTCGCGTCACACCTAGAGTAATGTTAACGAAGCATTCATCTGTATGATCAGAAGCCTGCATTTTTACAACGGCCGGCAAACCTATGGAAAACCTGACATTGTGTGCCGATGTCCGCAAAGTATCCCGGGCCAGGCACATCTTTACAGGCAAATTTAGTGGTAACCGGTAATTTCAGCAGCGTAGGATGCGATGGTCCAGCCACAATATTGGTTGAAAGATTTATAATCTCCGTCCTTGATGTGGTCGAATTTAGGATGTCCCATAAATTTTGAAATTGCTGACCACTGGCCGCACACAGAATAGCGAAAAATATGACCTTACATATTCCCATGATTTACTAAAACGGTGACGCCAAGTATTGGAGGAAGTGAATGAGATAATGTAACGACAGTATGCAGAGCGACGAAGCGAAGACACTGATGCTAATCAGTAAAATTTGGAATGTACTCGTACACTGGAATGCAGCAGCAGTTTTTATACAAATTATGCAGCTCGTCATACCGGATACGCGCTTTGCATGTTTGTTTGTTTGTTTGTTTGTTTAATCAGCTTAACGTCTACAACAATCAGGTAAACGCCTGCACGAGGTTGCAGACAAACGTTCAAGATCAGCTGCCACAAAAAATGACAGCCCCTTTCAAAAATTCTTCCAGCTATCGTAATCACAATGCACAGTAAACAAAGTTATTTCAGTATGTAACATAAAACGAAGGATATCACAATAGTCAACAAGATCAATCAGTACACCCATTCTCGCACGAAAACGTTGGAGGGCCAAAGTTCAGGTCGTAGGATTTTATCAGCATCGTCTTTGAATATTCCAATCCGCGCAAACGTCGCAGTGCGCTTGTCTCCACGTGGGGAACAAAACACTTACGAATCTGGTAGAAATTCCTTCGCTGTTCAGCTGATTGGCGATGAAATTGTTGTATGCTTTCACACTGGTGAAATTTGAATTTTCAAGGCGAGGAATACCTTTCACGCAAAATCAGCATGTGGTTTTCGCTTACACTGCAGGGTCTTGCTCAATTCATTGCGAGGTTCCACGTCAGCACCGTTGTAGATCTGACATCCACGAATAGATTTTGGCAACCGCTTAGTAGCAACGACATGTGCATACGAAGCATGGGTTGGCGGAGATGGCATAGGCGAAGGGTTCGATCGGGTTTCAATGCCAGCTGGCATAAACTCAGGACATTTCATCGCACCAAGCCGCGGCACTTCAACTTTTCGAGGTTTCCACAGTGCCCCTTTTTCTCCATCGTCTTCCTCTTCTCATCCAGAAGTTCCCAATTTCCCGGAGCGTATCCGAAGTTTTCATCAACAACACGCGCAACAAGAGGGTCCGAGATCACATCATCACTGTCGTATCCCCGCGCAGGGTCTCACCGCCAGTGGCGAGTCCACATTCTATCACGAAAACTCGTTCACATAGCTCTTGCACTCCGTTCTTTAATTCAGCGATATCATTAGACGACAAAAGGTTCTCCTTAGGAGGCTCCACGGCAAGACTTGGCAAGATTGTGAAGGGAGTAACTTTCAGCTGGTTCTTGATGGCCACATTTTCGACAGTCAATTCTTCGATTTTCGATTCCAGGCACTTTACATGGTTAACAAATTTCTTAAGTTCGGGTATAAATTTTTCCCAATTAACTTTTGAGCCAGAAAAGTCAAAAGAAAAGTCGCAATCAGTCATGTTTCCAAAATATTCAAAATATTCCATTTCAAATCTTGAGTGATCTTCAGGACAAGAGTGATCTTTTTATTTAATCCGTCGTAGCAAGTAGCCTCCCGGCTACTTCCTTGTCATGCACTTCATGTCATGTAATTTTTAGCAGGAAGTCACCATCCGGCTATTTTCAACTATGTATATAGCTCGAGGTGATTTAGTTGCACGTTGGCCGGTAACATACTAACGCGGATGCGCAGCAAGAAAATTTCTTGCTGTTGGAATAATCTTTATTAATAATCGACCAAGATATACAAATCAGTAAACATGCATGTATGTGTAAATAACACGGTTAAAACTTTCAATGTCACAGCAAAAAGAGCTTGGAAGTCGGAAATTTTCAGGAAGTCGTCGTCAAGTAGGTTCCCTATGTGGGCGGATGGCAAAGCATTGAGCCAAATACCTGCATCCGGAGTAGACTGTGCAAGGAGGCGCGCTCTGTTAATCTCATCGTCGCGATATACATACTTCCAAAAGAGTGTGCAGCGATGCATTGCACAGCGGTAGATCCCAAGACTTCTGTTTTTTCCGGAAACCTAATTCAGGAAGTTCTTGAAGGCGAGCGTTCAGTTTCCACAAGTTCATAGCTTCTGTGGTATCCACAGGCGGCCGTTAGGGAAGCAGTAACGACACCAGGTCAGATACGGAGTGAATCGAAGCCAAAAAGGCTGGAAGCGCTAATTCCTCCGATCGACGTATGCCGATACCACGTGTGATGACCGGCAGGCTTGCTTGCCGCCAGCTAGGGTAGTCATCGTGATTGGTTCGAACGTTGCACAGTAGCTGAAAACAGGAGCGCAGAGCTTCGTCAATCTGATACAGTTGCTGCGGGTATCTCCAGCGTTGCAACATCTCAACATGTAGATGATCTTGGGCGCGCCGAGACAGTGTTTCAGGAGGTACAGCGCTTGGTGACGGCAGAAGCTCCATTCCCTTGCATGCAGTAAGGATTGTCACAGCTTTTTCGGCAAACACCGGAGCAATCGCGTCATCCAATGCAGGCGCTCCAAGGAGAGAGCGCCTGTATTGGATGACTATTACCATCGGTGATTGCGAGTCCATATCCTTATGGTTAGTGACTTGTAATTCCGGTTTGGAAATCGCTTCAAACAGAAGTTATTTATTCAGACAGAAAGATTGACGGTGACGGTCTCACTGCTCACAAATCAAATCTTTTTGCCGGCAAACAGGTTTGTTAACATTTTTGACGGGCGAAACGGCTCACGGTTGGTAAATGTACGAGTTACGAGATCCGGTGCCTACGTTTATTTTTTTAAATAACCATTGATAACCATTAAGCGATGTGTTCGACTTATCTTTAGGGTGGATTGTCGGTACAGTATAATATGTGAGCAGTCCGTTGCCCAGTACTTTCAGTAGTGCGAACCCAGTTTTCGCAACCATTACTGGTCGCAAATTTTTGGAAACGACTCACTAGTTGTCAATCTAGACTCGGAGCAGAAGTCACATAAACAAGACCGCTCAAGGCATTTACACATCGCAGCAAGTATCGAAAGTAATTCTTAATTGCATGACAAAATACCACTTTATGGATTACTTTATGGACAAAACACCACTCACAGTCGAAGAAAAGTTTGATGTGTGAGCCGTAACCCAAACAAACCCAAGACAACGAACTTGCACCCTGACTGTAGTACATGTACTCTCGCTGTGCTATTTCCGATTTTTTCGCTATTGCTACACAGAGTATGCTCTAAAATTTTACTAGGAATCTCAAAAACTATGTCATTCATTACAACGATGCTTGTATTATTTATTTTGAATTTATCTTTCCGCTTCTACGGTAGCAAGCGAAACATATTCGTTAGCAAATTCAGGATTCAAAGTTAAAGGAAATCACATCTCAGTTTAAACACAGCAGCGCGTACACAACGTGTAAAATGAATTTAGGTGGCGGAAAGGGATATAAAATGGGTTTTATTATTTAGTGGATGTAGTTTGAGACGAAGCTGATACATGGTGGAAAGGCAAGCGGCAAGAATTACTAGTTAGCTAAGTCGGTCCATTGGCAGTTGCTGGCCTGTACTGTGAATTCGACGGTGGCGTTGCCGGCGAGAGATGGAGCAGAGCGCAAATGGGCAGCCCAAGGAAACTACGGAAAGTTAGTCAAATAGAGAAGCGTGGCCATGGTAAATATGCAGTTAACTTACACCAGGGCAGTTGTATTCTGGCTTATGACAGAATTCTTTCACAGCGTGGTCAATGCTGGCATAGTGTTTAAGGCCCCGGTGGCCAGCACCGCCACATCGTGCACATTGTTCCAGGTGCATCCGGTTTCGATGAAGATGGAATTGATCCGGTTCATTATCCAGTATGCTTGGAGGTAAGTGCTAGCGGTGTGGTTGCTGATAAAGTCTTCGGTGGCGCGCATTGAGCTGAGGTACAGGGTCTGGCCGACACGGACGCCGCCCCTGATTAACGGAAACAATGACAACACAACGATGACACTGCCAAGTGTTAACAGTTACACAAATTTCTCAGCAGCGCTACCGTTAAAGATACAAAAGCGATGTATCAAACTAGCCCTTAAGAATAGGTTGTTTTCGCTAGTTATCTGAGTAATGCAGTCAGACATTTCAACAGAAAAGAAACGAGCATTTTTGCCATGTTGCGCTATTTTGGTGTCCAATGTGCGACTGCAATTAATTTACGATATTTTCGGTAATTATTGTTTGACTACATTCTCCTGACCAAAACTGAAAAGACTTGACATATAGAGATCTATAATTTAAAGACTTACACATACGGCTGGGGGGACTCGTCAAATTGCTTTTTTAACCAATGAGTCGAGACAACGCGCTTTGGTGCGGTGCAAAATTCGGGCTGCGAACTTTTATCCTGTTGGTCACTGCTGTCAGCCACTGCAATCCACAGCGAAAAAATCCACAGCATGATACTGAATGTGCGTGGTGTCAGGCACAGTCAATCGATCAACTCGCGGAATTGACTACTCGTTACCTCTGCCTATCCAATTGCAGTCGCTAGCCTGTACTGTGAATTCTACGGTGGCCTTGTTTTTCAAAGATGTCGCAGTCCGAAAATGGGCGGTCCATGGAACCTATATTACGTCGGTGAACAAAAGAGGTGAACCAAGGACAAAATGCAATCAACTTACACCAGTGCAGTTTGCAATGCAGTAATCGTTCATGACGTTTTTAACGTCGGTGAAGTTAGCGTGGATGTCGGTGGTTAGTACCGCCACATCATGCACATCGTTCCAGGTGCAGCCTGCTGTCTTGAGGATCTGGTCCGTCAAATCCATGATCCGCTGGGTTTCGGGGATGATGCCGCCCGGGCTGATGATTTCTTTGTGGCGTTCAATATCTTTGAAGGCGCGCATCGAGGTCACGTACAGGATTTGACCGACACGGATGGCGGAACTGGTTAGCAAAAAGAACCACAACACAAAGATCAGCATCTGTACCGACGCAAAATAAAAAAAACCGGTAAAGTTTTTTTGGAGCAAATTTAAAAATTACTATGTTCTGTATTTTAGGACATCATTTTATTGCGTTTTGTGCTGAGTGTATCGCTTAAAAAATTAAACCAGTAGCAATTGCTGTTATACAGGGTAGTCAATAGTCACGCTAAGAATTTTTCAACTGTTTTTCCTAAAGAGAAAAACGCGTTTCGGGAGAGAGCAAGGAAAGAAAATAGTAGAAGACCATTGGAGCCATAATTATGGTCTATTTTGCCATTACAATCTTTTGAAAACGGTTTGCAAAGGACGATTACGGTAAGCTTAAACGGGTAAGGTAAGTGACGTCTGCGGTGTTTTCGGGGCTTATCAAATGCGTACTTCTAAACAACCCCCCATCGTAACCGCATTGTTGGCTCCAAAAATTAAGAAATTAACATACTGCCACGGCTGCTTTTTGGATTCCTTCGGCGAAGAATTTATGCCCGTGTAGTGCTTCGGTGAGTGGCAGCATTCTGGCTGCGGATGTGGGTCCGGTGTAGTCACTGCAATCCATAACATCAAATTGAGTGTACATTGTACAAGATATCAGCCAAAGACAGCTGATCAACTTACGGAAGCGATACGTTAACAAAGGTCACTTACTGCTGGTAGCGGCGACAACCAATGCAACAGCGAGGATTATCAATTTCATCGTGGGAAACAAGAAAACTACGAAAGGTGACAAAGGATAAAGTCAGATATAATTCTCTCGTGGATATTTGAAAACGTAACAGCTGATGGCAGCTATTGCGTTTTGCAAAGCGTTTATACTGTAAATACATTTCCCAAGCGAGTGAAAATGTTATGTCAGCAATAGAATCCCCTTAAACCGCTGATTCTTTGATCCGATCGCTGAGAATCTTCACAAATTCACGGAAAATATCAGCAACAGCAATACTAATTCTGAAACCAGTCGGAAAGTTGTCGATATCGGTAGCCGGAGCGACAGAGACCACCTGCCACGAATCTGCATTTTAATGCAGACTGCCTTACAAAATAACATGCGAAAGTACAAATCGCAACCGCGGAGTTGCGTCAGTCGGGGAGTAATGCCGATTTGCCAGGTGTGTTTTTATGAAATGAAATTTCCTATGTGAGTTCAGAAATTTTAATATGCTATACCATGATGTTTACATTGGTTCGCATTCATTTTGTTACCTCTTTTGATGCAAACAAAACCACTTGATGTGTTAATTCATGAAGCAAAATTAAAATTAAGTAAATCTAGGCTGAACCAAAAACGGTGTTCACGCTCTCTGCACCGTTTAAAATTGAGTTATTCGGCGAAAACGCATACGCAGTGGATGTTAGTAGCAATTTATTGGATGTATGTTGCGACAAGGCTGCCATGCAAGCCAGTCTCGTTACTAGCGAGGACTACTCGTGATCCACAGGTTTCCAGGGGCAATAGCTGGCCTGTACTGCGATTTCGACGGTCGCTTGGTTGGCGAGAGATGGAGCAGAGCGCAAATGGGCAGCCCAAGGAAACTGCAAAATGTCGGTTTAAAAAAAGGAGATTGGTCAAAGGAACAATTCTATCCACTTACACCAGAGCAATTATATGCAGATTCACCGCAGAAATCGTTTATGGCCTTGTCAATTACAGGGTAGTTTTCGCGGCCGCCGGTGACCAGTAGTGCCACATCGTGCACATTATTCCAGCTGCAGCCGGCTTTGCTGAGGATCTCTTCCGTCAACGTCATAATCTGTTTGGTTTCGGTGTAGGCGCCTCCCGGACTGATGATGGTGCGGTCGGTCAAGGTTTTGAAGGCGCGCACCGAACTCACGTGTAGGTTCTGGCCTACGCGGACCGCATACCTGATTAACACAGAAATCATCACATCACAAAAAAGAAACGGTCATCATTTCTAACAGGTTAAAAATTCCAGGAAAATTATCGATCTGCAAATAAAATTAAGTTTTGTATTTTAGGACATTTTTTCCTTTCGGCGCATCGTGCATATTATCGGACATCGAATAAAACCATAATGAAGTGCTTTTATACAGAGTGGTTACGCGCGTTACAACTGCTTCGTTGGCATTTGGTGCTAACCATAAGAAAATAACTTACTTCCACGGATTTGGGGCGCTTTCAGTCGATTCCACTAACGAAGAAAGAACAGGGTAACGCTTCAAAGGGCCGCAACATTCGGACTGTAAACCCTTATGCTGGGGAGATGCTGCAATCGACAGCATCGTACTGAATATGCAGTAATAATCTAGCTGCAGTTTAATGATATGGCTGTAATTCGAGACGAATCTGACACATGGTGGAGAAGTGAGCCATTATTGTTGCTCGCGCGAATCTCTGGTTACCCTTGTGTTCCCACTCGCAGTTGCTGGCCTGTACTGCGAACTCAACGGTGGCGTTGTCGGCAAGAGATTCAGCAGTGCGGAAATGAGCAGCCCAAGGAAACTACAATACGTCAGTTAAAAATGGTAGTTATAAAAAGAAACAGGAAACCGACGTACATCAGTGCAATTTAAAGCACGGCAGAACCTGTCCATGGCTTTGTAGACGGCGGGGAACTTGTCGTCGGGGTCACCGGTGACCAGGACTTCTACATCGTGCACGTTGCTCCAGGTGCAGCCGGCTTCCATTAGGATGTTGTTAATCAACATCATGATCTGGGTGACTTCGGCATTGGTGTTGCCCACGCTGAAAATGGTGTCGCGGTGGGTGAAAGAGGCGAAGGCGCGCAGCGATGTCACATACAGGATCTGGCCGACACGGACGGCGTATCTGATTAACAGAACAAATCACGATGCAAATGTCAGCATTTCAAGCAGAAAAAAGATCACATAAACAAATCTCTAATGTTCTGGCGGTTATAATGAGTACCGGCGAGTTATGGCGACTTATTGTTATGATCTATAGCTTAGGATATTGATTTCTTTTGGCCGCATGCTGTATAGTATCGATTTTATCTTAATAAAATACTGGTGTACGGGTGGTCATGCCCAGAGCAAATCGTTACCCAAATTTCTCAACTACTGCTAGTAAAAATAGAAAACCAAATTCAGAAGTTGACATGGAAGAGGATTGGTTTTATCTGGTGACCCTAATTATTAAGGGCAGGTCCATCCCTGATAATTGTTTCAGCCAGCGAAACGATTTAACGGTCCAACATGAATGAGAATAGCCGTCTGAATTACGTATGTTTGATTTTAGTATCAAGATTATTGTCTGGTTGAAAACAGTTTGCTTGGGAATTTTAAGGTATTTTCGAAATGATTGCATTTTCACAGTTCATAGTGGATAACCGCTTCTATGGGACATTGTGCTAATACAACAACTTACTGCCACGGGCTTGCAGCGTTTCCAGGCAGGGACTCCGATGGAGTAGTCGGGATGCTGTACTTCCGTACGCTGCAGCATTCGGACGGCGGACTTGGACCCAAGTCTGCAGCCACTGCAATCCACAGCAACATACTGAATATGCATGATATCAGCCAGATAGACATTTGATTAACTCGCGGAAGGGCGACATCGACAAAGATCACTTACTGCTTATATCTGCGGCAACTAGCAGGCCAGCGAAAATTATGAGTTGCATGATGGAAAACCCGGAAAACTACGAAATGTGGCAAGGAACGAAGTATAATATCTCTAGTGTATGTTTGAGAATGAAATCCCTGATGGAACATACTGGATTTCTAAAGGCGTTTATAAATGTTTTGAACCCGATAGAAAAGTTATGTCAGCAGTGGAATTTACGAAAACTGCTGATTTTTCCGTTTCAGCTCTAAGAATCTTTAAAAACTCACGGAATACAAAACCAGCTGTATTACCAATTCCGACAACCACTCAGAAAACTGTAGGAAGCAGTTGCCAGAGATATGGACCACTCGCCAGAAATCTGCTTGGCTGTTGCAAATTGGCTAGCAAAATAGCTTACACAAGTGCAAACCGCCACTGCGGATATGCGATCTTTGCCGGGGAAATATATCACTGAATTTTCCCAGTGCTTCTCAGTAAACAGCCGTGCGACCAACTTCAATAGTATTATTCCGTAAAATATAGAATTAATGTAACATCACGTAACCGTTATTGTCGGGGCAAAGGGCAATGATACTGATACTGTGGCGGGGATTATTATATTATCAGTAAAATAAGCGGATGGAAATTATTGCTTCCTCGTATGGGAACACAGTTCAAGTATAACACTGCACCACATTATTTCTTATATTGAGGCTTCGAGGAACTTACAGTTTTTTGCCGCTGCAGAAAGCAATTCTGAACTACAATATCATACCTATATTGTATTTGCTCACATTCATGATATTATTGATACCCTTTTGCCAGTGTAGCATTGTTAAAAACTGATGACAAAAGGCCCCATGAGGCGGCTACATAAACTTCACAGCCACTCGAACCAGTACAGCAAAAAAAAGTTTATGTACACAGCATTTTGAGCAATAGTACTTACGCTCTTGTCATTTTAGCGAAACGTTTTTAGCGCATAAACCCTGCGACAGCAGCCACGGTACTGAAAAATGTTTTTTCTAGTACTGCTTTCAAAATATGATGATCGATTTATGTATGTAAACCGAAGACATTGTTAGAAACCGAGAAATTAATCCGCTCTTGGTTTAAACTGCAACCGACCGAGTAGTGCTTCCTTTGCTTTGTTTGGAATCGCTAATTTACTTTATTACCTATTATTTCTGCACACATTATCAATATCAATATCAGACCCAAAAATAAGTGTTGCACCAGTCATACCTATTTTTACGGAACCATTCTAATGAAACTGGTCACAAGCCTGCTTACTGAGAACAACACCACTTGAAAACTTCGGTGATATCGTTATCACTTATTCGCGGTGGCGGTTAGTACTTGCGTCTGCTATTTCATGAGCTCATTTACAACAGCCCAGCGAATTCCAGGCGTCTGGTCTATATCGTTCCGGCTACCCATACCGGAAAATTTTCGAAGTGGTTATCGGAATTGATATTACTCTTGGTATTGTGTTTCGTGACTTTTCGAAGATTCTCAGCAATGGAACCAAAGCTCAGCAGTTGCAGGATATTCTTTTGCTGACATAATTTTTTTATCAACTTGGAAAATGCATTTATAAACGCTTTGCCAAATCCAGTATTTTCCATCAGTTGAAAGTTGAAACCATTTTCTATGTTCTACTTCAGGTATTTAACAAAACTTTCAGTCGCATTTTGTAGCTTTCCTAGTTTTCACCATGAAACAAATTCTTCTCGCTGGTCTGCTGATTGTCGCAGCTATGAGCAGTAAGTGACCTTTGTTGATGTCGCACTTTCGCGAGTAGACCGATTTTCTTTGGCTGATTTCATGCACATTCAGTATGATGCTATGGATTGCAGTGGCTGCAGACCTGGATCACAGCCCTCAGTCCGAATGCTGTAGCGCACGGAAGTACACGGTCCCGATTTCACCGATAGTGGCGCCACCTAAAGATCCGAAAAAGCCATGGCAGTAAGCTGTTTTCTTAGCATCAAGTGCCAACCAAGCAGTTATGATCACGGAACTGTAATCACTGTACTTATGCAATAGTCAACGGGACTACTAAAGAGATCGCGCTGAAATTATTTTCAATCAGATAGGTGTTGACAGCAAAACAAAGCAAGTAGTTTAGATGGTTGTTGTCATTCTGTCGGTCCGCCAGACTGGTTGAGTGGCACATTAAAATTCTTATGAATCAGCCGACATTAAACAATGGTGCCGATCGCCCCATGTAAAACTATTTTTCTCCGTTGTTCATTCAGAAAATCGTTCCGCGCTACAATAAATATTAGATTGCTAATCTTTTAGAAATTTGTGTGGCTTTTCACACTGGGCGTGATTACCGGGTACTGTAGCAGTTGTTTATAACTTTATAGTAGTTCTCGAACAGTATGTTGACGAAATAACGTAGTGTTCTGAAATAGTGTTCATAATTATATTTGCTGATAATGTTGTACCTTACGGATTATTACCTCTGACTTTTTAACTGTGCAGATACTGACCGTATTTTTTGGGCTGTAATTTTCCTGTTAATCAGGTATGCCGTCCGTGTCGGCCAAATCCTCTATGTGACCTCGGTGCGCGGCTTCACCTCTTTGGCCAACCGCACAATCTCCGACCAGTACAGAACCTACAGTCAAGCTTTGCAGATCATGAAACTAACCGGCCAGATCCTCAATGAAGCCGGCTGCAAATGGAGCAATGTGCACGATGTGACGGCTCTAGTCACCGGCGGCCCCGAAGATTTCCCCATCATTGAAATTGCCATGAAAAAATTCTGCGCTAAACCTGAAAACAACTGCTCTGGTGTACGTTTATTGCATGTTTACCATTGTCATCCCTGCTTTTAACTAATGTACCGTAGTTTCCTTGGGCTGCCCATATGCGCTCTGCTCCGCTTCTTGCCGGTGACGCCTGGGTGGAATTCTCAGTACAGGCCAGTTACTGCGACTGGAAGCCGGAGGGTCATTAGTTCAGGTGATAAACGAGGTTGGCTTGCCTTTCCAACATGTGTCAGCTTCGTCTCAAAAGACATCCACTAAATTACTACAAACGCTTACTGCGCATCCTTTTCCGCCACATATCATCGTTTTAAATGTTGCATAAGCGCCATTTTTGTTTCTGCTTGGTTACTAACTTGCTTTTGAGTTTACGTTCTGAATTTATGCATGAATCGGGTTTATTAGCAAGAAACACAATAAGATGAATTGAGACATAAGAAGCGTCATTGTCGACGGAAGCGAAGGTCCTCCATGTTCAGAAAATGGGACTTTTGTCTGTCTTTTGGTTACAATAACTTATAGGTCACGCACTAACCTGTCGGCCATGCAATAACCAGTCAGTGACGCACTAAGTATAGGGACTGTAATTGACGACCAAGGTTTAGCGCAAATCATATCATGAAGTAGAGCAGTCATAGTAAAGCCTTTTTTATTGTAGTGAATGAGCGTGACAGTATCAAGTACAATGCGAAGTCACTGCGGAGCATGGCTTATTGAAGATGTATTTAGTTAGCACTCAATTAAGTATAGACTTTGGATCATAGTAACAGCTAAGGTACATTAGATACATTTGTTTATTAGCCAAGGTACATCACGCGGCTTGAAATCAGGAAATTTTCGTTTTCTTTCAAACGATAGCCTTACTGGTAAATGCTTGATCTGCCCAAGTACTATTTTCTGTTCAGGCAATTCTTTAGGTAAAATTAGCCCAATTAGGAACCTACCCCTGGAATATAATAGTATTATCAATGTACAAGGCAGTTTAGATAACTCAACGGTACGTACTTTTTTTGCCGTCTACCTGGCTGAAATTCTTCGGACAAAAAGGGAAATACAATAGTCAAAACGACCATCAGATAGATACCTGGCATAGATCCATGGGCGAGCACTACTGCCTACACCAGCGCCCAGCTCGCATGCACAGCCGTGACCTTATCAAACACTCGCTGTATCACGCGTACCGGCGCCAGATGTCGTGGGTTATTGCTGAAACCCGTTTGGCATTGCCCGGGGCGTTTTGGGCACAGCGGAAGCGAAGCAGCAGAATCGTTTAGTCGAACCGTCCTTCATCAGCATATCACATGAGCGCCCTTTCGTTGGACAATTCGAACGGTAGAATCGCTGCAACAATGACTTATCGCCGGTTCCATCGGAGGCGGTGTAGTTTATCAGCAGCTTGTTGACCGAAGCGTAGAGAAGGTCCCTTTATGTTCAGTGTTAATGGAAAATGTGATGTCCGTTCATCGGTTACCGCCACCAAATGCACATATGCATTGTTAAGGGAAGTGGCCCGATATATGGTACCAAATTCGTGTATATTCGCGAAAACGTTTACTTTCGCGCACTCCCAAACACTTTTTTGTTTAGGCTTATAGCATTCTGTAGCCAGAAGATTTGTATACACAGGCGTACCGTTTATACGCGCAACATCCGGTTAGGACGTTATGGCTGTTAGAAAATTCCAAAAAGTTTAAACGCGTTCACGTGTACCAAAAGTCTCATTATGGACCGATCTCCCTCAAATTTTTCAAGTAAATGCACATAACCATGAAGATCGTTTTTACACCGATTCAGACTTCCATAATTTTTTTTCAAATTTTAAAATGAATTTTAAAGTTTTGAAATTCATTTTAAAATTTGAAAAACATGCTAGAACAGTGGATTGGTGTAAAAACGTTCTTCGTGGTTATGTGCATTTTCGTGCAAAATTCGAGGGAGATCGGTCCGTAATGAGACTTTTGGTACACCTGAACGCATTCAAACTTTTTGGAATGTTCTAACAGCCATAACCCCCGAACCGGATGTTGCTCGCGCAAACGGTTTTCACGCCACTGTATGCAAATCTTCTTGCTTCAAAAACGTCATAAACCGAAACAAAAGTGTGGTTGGGAGTGCGCGAAAGGTTTATTGCATGTACACGTATTTGGTACCATGTACCGGCCCACTTCCCTTAACAAATGCACTGTTAACAATTGCACATATGCATGGCGGCTGTTTATATCCTCACATTCCATGTAAATCGTGGTGTTCTTTCATTGTCACCGCCACCAAATGGTTCCGCTGTACATGCACAATGGCGTAGCCAGAACATTCACAGGCATGTATCATCAATAATTAGTAGTACGTGCTAAGTACAAATTACAAATTACCGGTAGTACCATGCCAAGCATGAGGCAGATCGGCAATGCGAATCGGGACACAAAGACAACAGATATCTTATGTTTTCCTGGAATTATTTGAGTCGAAGTGGGTCACTCCACTAAACCTTAACATTACCTTTGTTTTTTGTGCTCCGAAATCCGATGATCGCAGCTCACGACCGAAACCCCGTGCTCGGCTTCTGGATGACACCTGGCGCGATGATGTTTGTTATCAGGCAATTTTGCAGAACGCTTTTAACTTTTCTCCCCACTTTCACGCTGTCAGGTATATGCAGTAACGACATCCGCACCTAGATGTATCTATCGCCATATTGTTTCTGGCATCTGCCAGCTTTTATCGCTTGTCTGTTGACAGAGTCTCCAGGTTTTATCGCTTGCCAAAGTGCCAGTGGCAGGTGCCACTGCCACGTTTTGCACCCCGCCGTATTGCCGCGGGTCATAATGATTCAGCACAAGTCAAACACAAACATGCTGCGGCTGATTAAAAAAAGGTGTTCGGCCTAATTGACAGCCAGCGTATCCGTGAATACTGATTGTTGAGCAGTTTAATGCGGAGTGAGATTGCTGAGATAATTAACGTATGCGTGGCGCCGGTAGCGGTAACAGTGGCAACTTATTTAGTTGATAGAAATATCAGAACACGCTTTTTGTCAAACTACATTTTCAGCAACTGACTTCCAAGAGAAAATAGAAAAAACTTCCGATAAACATTTCTCATTAACGCTGCTATAATGATTCTAGCTGCTTGCATGCTATAGTTGTGTGCCAAACATCCAGATTATTCCGGAGATGAAGGTAAGGTGGTTGGCATGGTAGCATCCTTAGCCGGTGCCGCTTCTTCCTTGGCCGGGGTGATTATTGATGCGTTGGACTGAGCGGTAGCGGAAGAGGGCTGCCCGGCGGGACCACTCTTGGCGAAAATCGCGGTCTTTCCTTCGACTTTGATAGGTTTGACCGGGTCCTTGCCGGCTGGTGCCGGAGAGCTGGGCGCGGCAGTAGCTTTGCCCGGGACAGGTTCCGCTGCAGGTGCAGCGGAGGGGGGTTCGGCACCGTTTACTAAGGCTTATACGTTTGGCGACATGAGAGGGAGGTGACGTTGGTAGACTTCGGAGTAATCGAAATACCGATAAAACCTGAAAATAATGTCATCGCCGTTGCCAGTGTCCGTACTTTGTACACTTAGGATTTGATCCCTTGTAAGTTGTAAGACAGTACTAGATGTTTAACCGCTTACTTTTGGCAGTCAACATTGGAAATGTTATCACAGACCAATGTAATCGGATTGAAAACGGTCATATTGGGGCACAAATAGCTGGTCAAGGTTCCGTTGTCGTCACACCTAGAGTAATGTTCACGAAGCATTATTCTGTTTAATAAGAAGCCTGCATTTTTGCAATGCTGACAAACCTATGGAAAACCTGACACTGTGTGTCGATATCGCATATAATCTCGGACCCGGCATCCAGTCACAGGCGAATTTACTGGTAACCGGTAATGTCGCCAGCGTAGAATGCGATGGCGCAATTACAATACTGGCTGAAAGATTTATAATCTCCGCAAATGATGTTGTCGAATTTAGGATGACCCACGAATTTTCAACTTGCTGACCACTGGCCGCACACAAAACAGCGAAAAATAAGGCCATACGTGAATACGTATGGCCTTATTTTTGGTTGTTTTGTGTGCGGCCATGATATACTAAAACGCTGACGCCAGGTATCGAAGGAAGTGAATGAGATAATCTAACGACAGTGTGCAGACCGACGAAGCGAGCCCAGTGATGCTGATCAGTAAAATTTGGAATGTGAACTAAAATGCAGCAGTAGTTTTTATCGACCGAAGCGAAGCGAAGGTCCTCTATGGTCAAGAAAACTGGAATTTTGTCTGTCCGTCGGTCACGCACTAATCTGTCCGATAAAAACATAATAATACTATGACCCTGCTACTGTGACCGACAAACAGATCAGTGCGTGACCGACGGACAGACAAAATTCCAGTTTTCTTGACCATAGAGGACCTTCGCTTCGCTTCGGCCGATTAAATTTTGCTACTTAACGCGTAACTGACAACAAAGACAGAAATACAGCAGGTAGATGATGCGATATGGCAATGGCACATGTTGCCATGCATTGCAAAACTATATCTAAGAGATAATACAATAAATACAGCATGGTAATGTCAATTAGTAAGTGTATTCAAGAGCACACTGCTTTAAGGCACTCGTTGGTCTGTACTCGTCTGGTCACTTTGCCATAAAGAAGCAATAACAAAACCAGCAGACAAACCGTCTTCTTGAATCTTTGTTGCAAAAGACACATGACCATAACGTCGAAAGGGAACTAATTGTAGGTTCATAGCATTTTTCCATAATTTTAAAACGAATTTTGAAAGTTTTGAAATTCATTTTAAAATCGGAAAAAAATGATGTGGATCTGATATTGTTCAATTCCAATATATGGCAAGGTGTCTCTTGTAGCAAAGTTTCAAGAAGATCAGATAATAACCACAATTTTGGTACGCAACAATGCATTTAAACTTTTCACCCATTTTGGTACGCCATATCTCGGCAACCGGATGTTGTGCGCGCAAACGGGTTTCAGAATAATGTATACAAATCATTTAACTTTGGAACGACATAAAGTATTAGAAAAAAGCGATTCGGAGTGCGCGAAAGCAGAAGTTTTAGTGATCATAGAATGACTAAATACATTAATATCGAAAGCTACATATTCTAAGATATAAGCCCTGATATCTGGCCGCACGATATATAAGCCCTGATATCTGGCCCTGATATCTGGTGTTTCTCGATTTTGGTGATCGTAATCGTAAGCTCTCGTGAACTCGCATCTTTTTCCTACTATTGCTTGTTATTGTTGGTGCAGTACTGTGAAGTGCTTAATAGTCACAGTCAGAAGACTCGGCTATCAAATCAGGTAAACGCAAACGTAAAAAAACTCACTTTTGAAAAGCCGTTCACGCAGCGAACAGCGTGCTTTTTCGTGCACGCCGCATCGACCTGAAATTTTTGCAAAATCCTAAAAAAGGAACTTCGGAACATTGGCGTGCCCAAAAAGTCAAGTTTTTTTTCCAGTCGTCGTAAAAACTTATTATAGCAGGCACACAAGTACAGAATCTGAAGCCGGTGCTTAAACAAAATTGCTACGAAGGGCTAAAGCCTAGAGCAATTTCTGAAGTTCTTGCATTCATTATGACGATGCGTTTATTGCTGTTCGTTTAACACCCCGCCTATCTTGCCGCAAATTACACCAGTCAGTGCGAAAATTAGGAAAGCAAAACCAAAGGAAACAAAATCTATGCGGGAACACAGAAGGCGCTTATGGCAACGTTTAAAACTGATGCATGCAACGAAAAAAGCATTCGGAATGGGTGTTCTTAGTAACTTAGTGGATGTACGTCCAGACGACGCTGGTACATGGTCGAAAGCCAAGGTGTTTGTGTTATCCGTAGACCGTATGAATCACTGGCTTACTTTTCTGTCCAATGGCAGTTGCTGGCTTGCAATGTGAATTCAACGGTGGCCTTGCCGGTGAGAGATGGAGCAGTGCGCAAATGAGCAGCCCAAGGTAACTACGATAAGTCGGTTAAAAAATGGGAATGAACAAGGAACATCTGCAATCAACTTACACTAGCGCACTGGAAGATTGGTTGTTTACAGAAATCTTTCACGGCTGTGTCAATTTGGTGGTATTCGTCGGGGCCCCCGGTGACCAGCACCGTCACATCGTGAACATTATACCACCTGCATCCGAAATTCTCGAGGGCATTGTGCAACTGTCGCATGATCCATTCGGCTTGCAAGTTCGTGCTACGCAAGCGGTCGGTGTTTTCGAAGCCGTTGACGACGTGATCGGGGGCGCGCACCGAGCTCAGGTATAGGATCTGTCCGACACGGACGGCGCTTCTGATTAACGGAAACAATCACAACAAAGCGATGACACCGCCAACTGTTGTAAGTTACACAAATTTCTCAGCTGCTACCATCGAAGACGCGAAAGCGAAGTGGAAAACGAACATGGAACAAATTATCGAAGTTATCTAATAATTAACTATATTATGTCAACGAAAGTTTATTACAGTTTTCGTCAGTCAGTATACCTGTCTGACGTTTCAAGACAAAAAGAAAGCTACGAACGAACGACCAGGTATGCTGTATCGTGCTATATATTTCACTATAAAATGTCTGAGGGAAAACATTTTGCAAGTAATCCATACCCACTTTCGGGAAACACTGATTGGCACGGTCCACTGAATGTCACTGCGTCATTGACATTATTTTGGCGCTAAGAAATAACTTACTGATATGGCTTGTTGGAGCCTTCAATTAGCTTATCCAGCTCATGATTCGGGCCCATAATGTGCTTTGATACGCTGTGCTCTGATACGCTGCAGCATTCGGGCTGTGAACTTTTATCCTTGTCAATACGGTCGGCCACTGCAATCCACAGCATGATACTGAATGTGCGGGATGTCAGGCAAAGTCAGTCGGTCGACTCGCGGGAATGCGAATTCGACTACTCATTACCTTCGCCTTTCCAGTCGCAGTTGCTAGCCTGTACTGTGAATTCGACGGTGGCGTTGTCTTTCATAGATTTTGCAGTCCGAAAATGGGCGGTCCAAGGAAACTGCGGTACACCGATGAAAAGGACGAGTACCAAGGAAAAATGTGCAGCGAACTTACACCAGAGCAGTTGTTTTCAGGTCTGTCGCAGAATTCGTGCATGGTAGCGTTAACTTGTTCGTAGGTCGTAGTGAAGTTGGCAGGGCTGTCGGTAAACAGCACCACCACATCGTGCACATCGTTCCAGGTGCAGCCGGCTGCATGGAGAATCTGGCCCGTCAAATCCATGATCCGCAGTGTTTCGTTGTGGGTGCCGCCCTTGGAGATGATTTCTTTGTGGCGTTCAATGTCTTCGAAGGCGCGCATAGAGGTCGCATACAGGATCTGGCCCACGCGGATGGCGGAACTAGTTTGTAAAGAAAATCACATCACAACGATTAGCATCTGTGCCAGCACAAAGTCAAAAAGAAAAATCGGTGAGGTTTTTAACTGAGCAAATAAAACTATGTTCGTTATTATGAGACATCGTTTCAATGTATTTCGGCCACATGGTGAATGTTATCGTTGTAAGTTTTACCATAAGCAATTGCTATCATACAGGGTAGCCACTAGTCACGCTAAGAAATTTCTCAACTGCTTTTCATTTTTCTAAAGATACAAATGCAATTCCTGAGTGAACAGGAAAGAAGAATAGTGAAATATAATCATCAAAACTCTCTATTTTATTTTATGTTCACCTAACGCTATCTTTTGAAAACGGTTTGCAAGAGACCGATACGGTATTGTTAGCCGGGAACAGTAAGTTATGTCTGTGGTGCTCTCGGTAATACTCGTACTCGTAATTATCAAATGCGTTCTACCGATGATCGCAAATATTCTGCTGGTTCTTAGAGAAAAAGAAATAACTTACTGCCACGGCTTTTTTTTGGGATCCTTCAGCGTAGAATTTATGCCCAAGTGGTACTTCTGTAAGTGACAGCATTCGGACTGCGGATGTTGGTCAGGTTGAGCCACTGCAGTTAACAGGATGAAATTGAGTGTGAAAGGTTTAAGCCAGAGACAACTAATCAACTCACGGAAGCGCTAACAAAGGTCACTTACTGCTCGTAGCGGCGACAACCAGTATACCAGCGAGGATGATCAATTTCATGGTGGAAAGCAAAGAAAACTACGAAACGTGATAAAGAATAAACCTCAAATATCTCCGGTGAATCTTTATAAACTTAGCAAGTGATGAACGCTACTGGATTTTGCTCACCGTTTATAAATATATTTTCCAAGCTGGTCAAAACTTTATGTCAGCAATATAATATCCTTAATCTGCTGATTTTTCGATCATAGCGTTGAGAACCATAAAAAATTCAAGGAATGCAATAGCAACAATAATGCAATTTCCGACAACCACCGGTATCGATAGCCGGAGCGACAGAGACCACTTGCCACGAAGCTGTTAGTTAATGCGAATTGGCTTGCAAAATAACTTAGGGAAGTACAAACCGCCGCCTTGGAATTGCGATCACAGCGAAAAAGATTTCACCGGAACTGTCAAGTGGTGTTGTTCTCTTCAAGCAGCGGTGTGGCCAACTGCATTATTATTATTCCGTAAAATGAATAATTGGTGTTACAGCTACCACCAGGACATGATGCTGATAATGTACCACGGAACATTATATATGGGGAATTCAGTGTCGCACTCTACATCTCCCCTCTAGTGCTCCAGTCATCCGTACGGACTTTCACGTCATGGCTGAACAGGGCTTTTAAAACTCGCCACATTTATACCTGCACATTGATGCAGGTACATGTACCGTGCAAATTTTATTAATTTATTCATTTTACTAATGCGGATTGCATATCCATCGAAATATTAATAACGAACAAAACTTTAGAGATGAGGTTATTAATCAAAATCCGAATTGTTTAACATTATTATTGTTGGAAAAACGAATTCTGTGGACATCCGGCGCGTGACGCAGGTGGCACCGCGCGGTGTGGCATCGTGATTTGGCTCACGTTTGGAGAGTTTATCTTTTGATTTTCGATTTTCGGGCGAAAAAGTGGTTTCTTCTGCGCAACTTTGGTTGCAAAATGAAGAATAAGGTTACGGGAATCATTTCAAGTGATAAATATGCCGTTTTGAACCAGATTTGAGCACACTTCAAGGATTCTGCCTGTGCGACGCACAACAAAATGCAAATTCTGCAGTATCACTGCAGTGATTGCAGCACTTGGTTGATTATCATTGCGCCGTACGCGGTATGTACAGTACTTGCATCAATGTGCAGGTATAAATGCAGCGCTTTGAAAACCCCTGTTCAGCCATAACAGCAGTACAGGGGAGATGTAGAGTGCGACACTGAATTCCCCTTTCATAAAAAAAATGATAAGCGGATACAAATTACAAAATGGTGGCTTGGTTTACTGAAATGCGCCAGATCAGTCCAGCAATTGTTTAATATCATTTTGGTTTCATTCAAAAAAGCAGTTTTTATTAAGGGATTTGTCCCGGTACATAGCACTAAATTCGTGTACATTGACGGGAACTTTCGCTGTCGCGCACTCCCAAAACACCTTTTTGCATTGCTTTAAGGCATTTTGTAGCCAAAAGAATTGTATACGTAGTTGTGAAATCCGTTTGCGCGCGCAACATCCGGTTGCAGAGTTATGGGGGTAACAAAATTCCAAAAAGTTTAAATGCATTCAGGTGTACCAAAAGTCTATGGACCGACCCCTTTCGAATTTCGCACGTAAATGCACATAGTCATGAAGATTGTATTGGTACGTACCGAGACTTCTACAATTTTTTCGAATTTTAAAGTGAATTTCAAAAATTTTAAAATTCATTTTAAAATTTGAAAAAAATCGTAGAAGTCTGGTTCCGTACCAAAGCAATCTTCATGATTATGTGCATTTACGTGCAAAATTCGAAAGGGATCGGTCCATAATGAGACTTTTGGTACACCTGAATGCATTTAAACTTTTGGAATTTTGCGACCCTCATAACTCTGCAACCGGATGTTGCGCGCGCAAACGGATTTCCCAACTACGTATACAATTCTTTTGGCTACAAAATGCCATAAAGCAATGCAAAAAGTGTTTGGGAAAGCGCGGCAGCGAAAGTTCCCGTGGATGTACACGAATTTGGTGCTATGTACCGGGCCAAATCCCTTAACCCAAAAGAAAGTTCAGCCAACATTTTGCAAAAGTTTGACTTTTTTTCAACATGTTTTCCTAAAAATGGATTGAGTTGGCAGATGTCCTGTAACGAAAAATCCGAGATCTCCGTTTTTCACTCAAAAAATTGAACAATTAATTAATGTCTTTCTCATTAGAAATCCGGGCAGGGAGGTTGGTTCTTGTTTAATAAATAACCAAAAGGACCAGGCCAGAAGAATGGTTCTTTCGAAAATTCTGAAATCCGATTGACTAACGCATGAATCATCAGGAAAAAATTAGAGAACATAAGAAAATAGTTACATAAAAATTAGAATCATCATGTCATCAAAATTGCTGCTGATAAGGGCACACTCATTATTATCCATTCTAGTTTAGGAAACCTTCAGGCTGATAATGTTTTTGTTGTAGGAAAGTCATTGTGCGTTTATTTATTAAAAAAAGACCCATTTGACTACTTTCCCAAAATTTTATGGGCGCACAGCACTTTTGAATAAAAAAAACTGCGCAAAATAATTAAGTTAAAATGGCGTCATTTAAGGAAGTGAAATTTATGCCATACACTGTGGCCGGTCGACGAACTTGCTCCACAGAACATAGTGTGCGGAAAAATCCTACAAAACGCTCGATGTGCTGCATAACGCAAAACGCATGTGAGTACCGGCAGGGAGCAGGGACCTGTGGGACTTAACAGTGGTGCAAGTTCGTCTAGCGGCACAAAAAGAAAGATAAAACGCCTTATACTTACTTGTTAGCCGTTGCGACGGTACGGGAAAACATTGACTTCAGAACTCGAAGAAACTATTACAAAACAAGAAATGCCATTTTTAAGACCAAAATGAACAAATTCTGCTTGACTGCAACGTCTTTCGTTGCCGTTAACAACAATGTCAATTGTTTGAATTTAATAATCCCGACTATTCAAAATAAACGTTTTTTATCAGAAAAAACTGCTCGATTCATGGTATCAACATTTTTCTGGTCAAACAGGTGCATTTATCGAAAAAATATTTAGACTCGCGTAAAAATGTTTTGGATTTTGCGGTAGCTGCAGGTTACTTATGTCTTACATACATTGGCCGCAAATCGTATTTTTGGATATTGGTTCTACTGCCTAATAAATTAAATAAAATGGGTTGTTCTTATGCGCCCGGAAAATTTCCTGGTGCGTAGTTAAGTTGCTATGCGCTCGGAAATTCGTCCGCGAAATTTTGTTAGTCGTAATTTCAATCGCTTTTCGCTTGCGAAAGCTAGCGAATTTTATTTATTTAAATATTAACACATTTGTAGCAGTACATTGGCATTTTGGAAATTCTCAGTACAATTAATTTCGAACTGAGCTGAACAAACTTCATGGTTTAATTAGGGCTTCAAATCTGGAAACTATTATTAGTTGTAACTTTAAGCTGTGATTGGGATTCCGTCCTTTTCATCCAATCGCATTTTCTCAGGTATGTCTCGTAATTTACAAATTTATTCTGTTTTCCTTGGTGGTTACCACGACCGCTTGTAGGTGCTCTGTTTTTTGAAGACTGTTCGGACCACGCTTCCTGGGTGGCTTCGTTAATTTTCAGTTTGAATAATTTCGCTCAACCAACCTTCTAAACTGAACTTCATTGGCATAGTTTGCCATTTTGATAGCGGGTGTCTTTAACATTACGTGGTGAACTGTGAATGCCGCAGAGTACACACCACAGTTGTTCGAACCCGGTGCTTGCCAAGGAACAGTTGGAACATCGGTCCTCATTCCGTCCCCTTGGTTGCATAAGCACCATGCTTGAAGCTTTGTCCAATCTGTAGGTTCCCAACCAAGAGAATCTAGGATTCTGATCTTCAGTTCTGGTACCCAGCTCGCCTTTAGGGTAACAAAGGGGTGCCCGATGGGATCATAAAGCGGCTGAATTATATATATACTAGAAAAGTGCACTCGCTTTACGCGGGCACTGCATGACCGAAGCGTAGCAGGCAGATACAATATTTTTTTGGTACAATTTTACCGGCTTATTTCTTCATCTATAATTTGTCAGTAATGTTCTTCGTGCGGGACACACGCTTCTACATTTAGGCAGTGAGCTGCTTAGCGTCAGATATTAATGATAATTTCGTTCCGTATCACTTCAAGAAATAGCACAATGCAAGTACAAACACAGTGCCAAAACGGAACGTGGTTTTTCTTTGTTTTTTCAATGATAACTTAATTAATGTACAAAAGCTATCATCCAGTAATAATGCAAATTTAAGCAGTTATTATCGAGTAATTCTAATCACAGGTAATTTCTCAGTTTATCGCTCTTACCTACTTAACGTATTTCTTCCGTCTTGGTAACGGATTAGCGTCCCTATTGGCAGTTTCCCCATAAGGTTTAAAAAAATTAATAAAGTCAGAGGATGGGTTTGTGCATTGTTTGGCAACAACTGCTGCTGCACCAGACTGCTGATTGTCCTTACTGGGCAGTGCACACGTTACATAATAAGAAAGGGAACACGTTCCACTGGAAAGTGATGTCAACAATAAAAAACCAGAAAAACTGTAAGTAGATTTCTGCCTTTTTGAATGCAGGCTAGGGTTGAGCCATTATGATTTATCACTTATGGTGCTAAATCATCTTTTACTTGCTGTACTAACAAAAACAAAGGCAGTATTAAAAGGCTATAACAAAAATATAATAAGATAATATGTAATAAGATAATATGTAATAACATAATAAGATAATATGTATATCAAGCACTTTTGTGACTGCTTTTGTTCATCATCGCTACTTCCGTTTGTGGCTTCCGTTCCGTTTGTGACTTCTGCTATCATTGTTATGCTCAGTAAGAGTGCGTCCTGATATTCGCGATGACGATCGCGATAGTACGAATAGTACACGAGATCGTCCTGAAATGGCTTACCATGACATCTACGATGGTGATTGCAGTCACAATCGCATTGCGTGAGTCCGTAAATCGTGCTACTGTGATCGCACGTACTCGTGTGACCGTGTCCGTAAATACCATAGCAAAATGTTTTCGCTATCGCAGTGATAGCATGTGCGATCGCCATG